CTTCTTCTTCCTCTTCCTCTTCCTCTTCCGATTCCATCTCAGGTGTCTCTCCTATTGCCTCTTCATTCATTATTTCCTCTTCTTTCAAATCGGGTGCGTCATCAGATGCATCTTCATCTTCCTTCCGGGCTAAAACGACCTCTTCTGCTGACTGTGACGCGTCTTCTTCTTTTCCATACGATACATCTTTCTTCACAATTGACGAAACCTCTTTTGGATCCGATGCATCTTTTTCCTCCGATTTGGAGACATCTTCATCCGGAACGGAGGCTTCTTCAAGTGCCTCTTCTTTCAGACAAGACATGCCTTCTTCTTTTCGTTCCGTCACATCTTCTTGCGGGTTCAGCACTTCTTGCATATTAGGAGAGGAAGTTGCATTATTTATACTCTCTTGATCCACGTGTGCTTCATGCTCTACCACATTGGGACCATCACTCGACTCCGTTGTCTCTTGCGTTATTAGGGTGGGCATGTCTGCTTCACCGAGTTCCCTCGCTAGTTCATCGCACGGCGTTGATACTCGTATGTCGGCCTCTTCGTTCTGATCCATCTGCTCCTCTACACTATCCCCAGACGCATTCTTGCCTACATCCCCATCAGCGACAGAGACCAAGCGTGAGCCTCTCTGCCTCTTGGCTGGCATCCAATACGCGACCAGTCGATCCCACCAGCTAGGCATATTGCTAGGATCATCAGATACCTCGCCCAGTGTCTCTTCTCGGCCTCGCTTTGGCATGCCAGGTCGTCCCTGGGCCCCGTGGCTCGACGTGTCGTCTATCCCAGGATGGGTGGAGTGAAAGGTCGTGCGGCGGAATTGATTGGCTACCCAAGGCTTTCTTCACGCGTCGCTGGGCCTGTTCTCCACTCCGCGAGGCAAGTCCAATCATCGAAAGCGGCAGGGGGGCGATGACCACCACCTCTTCTGCCATGGATGGCTTGCAATTGCCAGATGATGAGGTAGGTGAAGTACCTTCGATGTTTATAGCTCGTATTGTGCCGCCATCAGGTACAGATACCACAGTGTTCGCCACCTTGCTTGAGCAATATGTGCATCGCGAGGCTGCTGCCATCGCTGGGTCTCATACTACCAGTGGCTATATTTGGGATCGCGAATCACCTACAGTTCAGCTCGATGATGAAGATCCTAGCATCGTAACACTGTCTATGCGTGTGCAAGATTGCATTGATGATGAATGGTTCCTTACTTACCTTCTTCGTGGTTTTACCCACACCCATGACGCTTGTATCTCTGTGCGCGATGAGGATGGCGAATTCCTTCTTATTGAGGCGTCAGATGAACTGCCTACATGGGTTACCCCTGACAATGCGGACAACCGCGTATGGATCTACCAAGGCGAATTGCATCTCATACCACTCACTGCAGCACCATCGGATACCACACTGTCTGTAAGCGACGCACTGCGCCTTATTCGTGACGAGTCTGTCACCACCCGAGTTTCAGGACCAGTGCAACAAAGAGCCTTTAGCCGCTTGGATGCATACCCACAGGCTGCTGCGGATCATCATCATACTACCTTGGCTTTCGTTCCCATTTCTGTGGCTAAAGTGCTTACCACCTTTCCACAACGAATCGCAGATGCTGTGCACGCACTTACCACACGCGACCCTGTCAGTGTACGCAGCGCTCAAAAGCCTACGTTTTTTGGCGTGGAAGGCATGGCCGATCAGGATATGAATGCATTGCCTGCCACGGACGTGGTACTGACACCTATTCGATGCACGCGGCACTTGTATGCACAGCTTTCGTTCGATCGTTACTTTCCTCCTTCGGCGTTCGGCAAGCGTTGGCAAAGGTATGTGGAAATGTACCGCATTGCTATGGCTGGCAAAGCTACGTTGTCAGAGAAGCAGCTTGCATGGGGCCGATGGTGTGATATCGGAGCCAAAATTGCTGGCGGCTTGGAAATGTGGCTGCATAATTTAGGCGCTTCGGCGGCGTCGATGCCTTCCCGACCAGGGTCTCATATCATACCTTCTGACAAAAAAGAGGCTTTTCTTCATGCTCTTACCAAGCTCGGGTACTTTGGTAAGGAAATTCGGGATAGTGCGCGGTGGAAAGTGCTGGAAGAGAGAGCGCTCACGAAGGCAGCACAACTTTCTTCATCCCTTCGCACTGAATCGATCGAGACACCGACCTTCTCGACGGTCAAGCAGGTTTTACGTGAGCCAGCAAACGAAAACATTGTTACGTTGCTTCCTACGAGCGAACTTGCATCGTTGCAATCACAGGAAGATTCTGATGCATGGCTAAATGTGGCTCCTGATGACATTGAAGCGATGTTTGCTCGTCATGCTCCCCAAGAGGCGGAAGAGGCGACCATGGATAAGTTTCAAGCGTTTATGACAAGAATGCAGTCGTTTATTGATGGACAGGGTGATGTAGAAGGTGCACTCTTTGAGGATGAAGATTTTGAGGATGGAGAAGAAGCGGATGCGGACTTGACAGACTCGGATGCGTCCGGCGAAACTAGGCAACAACGTATGGATTCGCTCGTGGAAGGCGTACCTCTCAGTGAATGGGGCGCAGAGAATGCGTCCAAGGCATCTATTCCGTCAGATCTTCCGCCAAAGCATGAGACTCTTCCCAAAACCGCGCATCCACCGACTTCTTCCTTTTCTTCACGCCAGCGACTTCGTGGCTTATCTACACTGGACAGAATGGATGGCGATAGCGACTCCGACCCTGAGTCATTGCATGGGGATGAAGACGATGCTGCTGACGAACGAGCGGAGAGACATCGTTTCCTTGAACTGGAAGATGATGATATGCAAAGCGAGATGAACGAGGAGGGCGATGGGATCCAGATGGACCAAGAAATGGACGACTTTCTGGAATTCACGCGGCGGACTCTGGGACTGTCCGAGTCACAGTATGCCGCTATTTTGGAAGAACGAGAGAAGCGTGGAGGTACGTGGCATGCCAACTTACCCTCAGCCTTTGTCCCCTCGTCCCATGCGCATGCCAAGCCACAAACATCTTCAAAGAGCCAAGTTCCATTGGACTCCTTTGATGCCGTGTTGGATGCTATGGAAAAAGAGCTCATGAAAGAGCGGGCTAAAAACACTGAGCCTAAAGACCCAACTGATATGGAAGAAGGCTCTGATGAAGAGCTGAACGAGGAAGAGCAAGAGCTATTGCAACAGCTCTTAGCCTCGGGCGGCTTCTTGCCTGAGAGTCTTCGCCACTTTGCGCAAGACAGTGGCGCATCCAGCATGGAAGTGGATGCCCTCAGTCATTTTCTGGAAAGTTTCAAGGCACAGGAAGGTCGCCCAGGACCAGTAGGCACTCTCAGTGCACGTCTGGGCGTGGGAGCCTTACCGCGCGATGCCGAGCCCCCTGATGAGGCCTAACTGGACGATATATGTATGTCATGTAAATAGTTCCCACGTGGCACCAACGGTCGTGGGCGTAGAGTCGACGGTCGTGTTTTTTTTGTTGTCTTTGAGCACCCAGGTGACGGGGTGGTATCAGGAAGCCCCTGTCCCTGGCCAGGCATCTCTGCACTGATGTGCTCACAGAGTATAAGCTGTCTGTTGAATGTGTACTGCTAGGTCTTTCGAGACGTATGCGCATGTACGTAATTGTGATCAGCAACATGCATATCAAGAGTCCATTTGGGATAGACGTATTTCGTAAATAGGCACATTGGCATTTTTGACTACCAAGACACTACTTCTTCTCCTTGTTCTCTTCCACAGGCTTCGGAGGCGTAAGCTTGTACTCGTTCGGCTGATACGAGACACCATCGCCGACCTGCTCCCACGTCGAGTTGGCTTCAAAGTTGCGGTGGGCCTGCATGAGCTGCACAGGCTCCTGCACCACACGCTTCTTCTCTTCATCCCAACGCACTTCCGAGTAACCAGTAAGCGGGAAGTCCTTGCGCAGGGGGTGGCCTTCGAAACCATAGTCAGTCAAGATACGTCGCAAGTCAGGGTGGCCAACAAAGAAGATACCAAACATATCCCAGGCCTCACGCTCGAACCAGTCGGCGCTGCGGAACAGACCAGTAACCGTGGGCACTGGTGTAAGTTCATCAGCATACGTCTTCACACGAATACGGGCGTTGTTGCGCACACTCAGCAGGTGGTACGCTACCTCGAAGCGCTGCGAACGAGTTGGGTAGTCAGCACCCGAGATATCCATCAGAGCCTTGTACTGCGTAAGGGTATGGTCACGCAAGAACGTCATCGTGGGAATCAGACCCGAAGGGGCAACGTAGAAGGTGAGCTCATCCTTGTACACAGTGAACTGCTGGATGTAGCGGGGTAGCGCTAAACATGTTAGGCCCATGCAAAAAAAAAGTACCACGTACCAGACATAATCCAGCTACCATAGTCGTGCAAAGGGCCCTGCATTGCCGACAGAGCATCCATAGGGTTAAGGTTAGCACGCTCCACGTAGGGCGACTCCATCATCACTGTGTTGTTAGAACGATGTGTACAGGCCATGGCACTTACCCTTATCGCCCTTTTCACGCGAAACCAGCGAAGTGGAAAAGGCACGCGTCGCCACAGCACGGCGCGCCGACGTCATCAACGCGGCAGACACCGAGCTTGGCTTCGCGGAGCGCAGAACATTACGTGCAGCAGCCATTTCCAGTGGAATGAATTGCACCGCAGAAGCAACTGAGAGAGAGCCCGGGACTGGACGACGGCGCTGGTCGCCGCGGCCGGCAGCTGGTGCTTAGTCATCATTTTTCCCAAGGCCCTCTGCCTCGAGACCTGAGCGTGCTACGGCCGTCGCACGCGCGTGGTCGAGAGTCAGCATGATGGCCAGTGCCGCGGTCAACACGTCTCTGCCCAACATGCAGCTGGCCTATTCAGATGCACTGCCATACTACGACACGGATATGGACCACGTTCCTGGTCTGCGTGATGCGGTGGAGCGTGAAATCGCTCGCGAGAAGCAGTCTATGAAATATGATCCTCTCACTCTTCTCCCACCAGCCATGCCTCTTTTTCAGCAGCATCCTCATCTGGCCGCAGAGATAGAGAGGAAAGAGCGGGGCGAAGACTTGAACGTGCTTGATACATCACGATACCAGCTTCAACCGCCTGCGCAAGGGCTCGAGGCATCGACCGAAGAGTGGTCTCAAGCGCTCCAGAATGCCGAGACCCAGCTAGCGCATATGGATAATCGTTTGAAGAACATTGAACTACTTCGACGTTATGGTGGTACGTATACTCTTTGTCTTACATGAAAGCCAATATATGGCGTTTGCACAACTATAATCAAGAGGCTATGCTCCATATGGTCACAGACGCACAGCAAACCGTGGAGGAAGATACCAACGAGCTCAACCGTGAGCGCCAGTCAATGCATCTGCGGCTGGGTGACAAGCTTTCTACGTTGGATGTACGATGGCGTGACCTTGTCTCACAAAACCTCTCTATTAAGGTGGCCAATTTGACGGCACGCGCTGAGATAGAGGAGTACCGACGTCGCACGGAAGAGGTACGCCACGAACTGGCGTTGTTAGATCAGGCGGAATCATAGTCATCAATGTACATATATCAAGCCTATGGGCCTTGACCTGGGGCAGCACTTGCACTCGCTTTGGGCGTCTGGCGCAATAGCTCCAAAAAGTGTGTTTTGCTAAGTTGCTTGACAGCCATGTCTTTGTTACCAAGTGCGTTCACTTTCCTAGCTTGCTTGGTAGTCTGCAAAGACCGGGCCTTATCAATATCCTCTTCTGTTGTCGTCTGAGCGGCGCGAATAGCATTGAACAGTTTTACCACACCACGTTGAGCGGTCTTCCGTAACCGACGTTCATATCCTTTTGTACCACCATTTTCAAGCCACGCATCAATGGCTGCCGACGATGTAGCGTTCTTCATAGATGCTGCATGCACACCTGGTGCACCCCAATCACCAATGACGTCCTTGATATGCGCACGTTCCTCACGTTCACGGCGTTGCTCCAGAGCCAATCGAGCTGCTTTCGCTCGCAACGTTGTCGCATTGGCCGTGCGACGGATACTTGGCGCCATAGACAAAATACCATCGCGGCCAGGTTGGGCGCCTTTGTCGTCTTCGGCAGGGCCCACGCCTAAGAGCTGCTCGAGCGTTTCACCGAAGGCGCCAGGGGATACAGCGCGCCGTTTACGTTCTGCTTGTTAGTCTTCTTCACACGTACTCATAGTCTTTTTACTGCGACCGGTTTGTGATGGTATATCGACCTCGTCGTCTTCTTCGTCCATGTTGTCATTGTCATCGTCCTCATTTTCATCGCTGGCGCCATACGAGCTATCGCTCTCTTCGATGGTCTCTTTGTGGGCTTCTTTAGATGAGAGACTTTTGGAAGGTACCGTAGGCGTCGCCCCTACCTTCATCTTCATCTTCGACTTGCCTGCCATGCTGCTGCTCTTACGCGCGTCCATGGCGTCTGTGCCTGCCATGTCACGCGTGCGGCAAAAAAAATTTGGCGCCGCATAAAAGTTTTTGCCGCTGTCGTACAGTCAGCACGTGCCACGTGACACTCCGGGACCGCCAGCTAGGAAACCGTCAGTCAGGGCAGCCCGGGCTCGGACTCCCAACGACTTTCCAGTGCAAAGAGCATCGTCACCATGATTCGTGCACTCAACATGTTCCGTTCGCGTGCTTCTGCGGCCCAGAGCATGCTCCGCACCGGCTCGAATGCCGCAATGCAGAAGCGTTTCTTGTCGATTCACGAGTACCTGTCTATGGGTGTGCTGAACAAGTACGGTATTGACACTCCTAAGTTCGTGCCGGCCAGCACGCCTGAGGAGGCGTTTGAGGCGGCGAAGAGCTTTGGTGGCAAGCCTATTGTGATTAAGGCGCAGGTGTTGGCTGGTGGCCGTGGTAAGGGTCACTTTGACAACGGTCTCCAGGGTGGTGTCCACCTGATCAAGACGTACGTATTTTTGCCAGTGTGTCAGGAACGCGACTAACATCACAGCCCTGAGGAGGCTCGTGACCTCGCTTCGAAGATGCTTGGCGCTAAGCTTATTACCAAGCAGACGGGCTCCCAAGGCCGTATTTGCAACAAGGTTATGATTGCGGAGGCTCGCAAGCCTGCGCACGAGTACTACGTCGCTGTTCTTAACGACCGTGTGCGTCAGGTCCCTGTGCTCATTGCTTCCAACCAAGGTGGTATGTCGATTGAGGATGTCGCCAAGGAGAACCCTGATGCTATCATCACTACCCCGATCCCCCTGGAGGGCGGTCTTGACACCAGCACTGCCATGGAGGTGGCTCGCAAGCTCGGCTTCTCGGCCAGTACGCAGGAGAAGCAGGCTGCTGAGACCTTCGTGAAGCTGTACAAGCTCTTTGACGAGCACGATGCTACCCAGGTCGAGATCAACCCTCTTGCTGAGAGCGAGGATGGCGCTGTTCTCTGCATGGACGCCAAGCTGGGCTTTGACGACAATGCGGACTTCCGTCAAAAGGAGATCTTTGACATGCGCGATGTGTCGCAGGAGGACCCCAGTGAGGTACAGGCTGGCAAGTACGGCTTGAACTTCATCAAGCTGGAGGGCAACATTGGCTGCCTGGTCAACGGTGCTGGTCTTGCTATGGCCACGCTAGACGTGCTCTCGCTCAACGGCGGTAAGCCTGCCAACTTCCTTGACGTTGGTGGTGGTGCTAATACCGAGGCTGTGAAGCAGGCCTTCGAGATTCTCTTGGCGAGCAAGGATGTGCGTGCCATCTTCGTGAACATCTTCGGTGGTATTATGCGCTGCGATGTTATCGCCGAGGGTATCGTTGAGGCCACTAAGCAGCTCGACATGAAGATCCCCTTGGTTGTCCGTCTTCAGGGCACTAAGGAGGCTGAGGCCAAGGCTCTGATCAAGGAGTCGGGTCTCAAGATCCAGGCCTTTGACGACTTGGATATTGCTGCTAAGAAGGCGGTTGAGGCGGCTCACTAAGTGCATTTGTCTTTCCATCATTTTTAGCCATCATAGATGCTAAACGTCTAGCTTGGTCGTTCTACATGAGTGTGAGGATTTTTTTTGAAAGCTATCAGAGTCGCGAAATATCGCAGCCCTCTTGTTGTGGTATGGGCCTCACAACGTTCCAGTTGTTATATAGTATTCACGACACACGGCACACCACCTCGCCTTCAAGCTTGCGACGCATAGCTTCTTTGGCCTCAAACCAGCCATCCTTGCCACAGTTAATAATTCCGATTTCTCCTGCACGCAGCGGTGACACAAACTTGGCTCGTCGACCAGTAACCCAACGAAGAAGTTCGTCGTTCGTCATGGACAGTTGACGGGAAGGCTTGCTTACCAAGTTCATCTTCTCAAGTACAGGCCGATCATCGGCGCGGTATTTCAAGTCCACCCACAACCGCCGACGAACTTCGGGAGCTGCATTGTAATCGGCAGCACTCGGACCTGCAATGGTGCCGCGAGTAACATTATAAATAAAACCATGCTGGAGCAGGATCGATGTGATCGATAGGTTGGCCTTCGTATTAGGGATAGGCACAGACCTCAACTTTGCGCGCGATGCATTTTGTAGACGGACGCACAAATCCGCGTACAACGGCATGACTATCGTTGCCTATAGACGTCGCCGCTCCGTTGGGAGGACGAAGCTTCGCTTTACATCACGTGATCTATTGGACATGGCGGAAGGCAATTGTAGTCACAACGGCACCCTTTTGGCCACCCTGCATGGTAAGTGCGCATGGGGCACGTACAAATGTGAAAGAAGGTGTTGGCACAACATGCTCGACTTCGAAACCTTGATTGTCAGAGTACATGGGTTTACGCACCTGCAGGCCCAAACTTGGCTGTTAGTTCTTGTTCTGTGAAATTGCAGCTTGTAATGAAAAATAGGCCACCTCGGTGATCTCCGGTCGGCGACTTGGTCAATTCTTGCACAGCTTCCACGTAAAGGTCGACTGGAAGTTTGTCGTGAATAGGTTGCGAGGAAAGTGCGATCTGGTATGCATTAGCTATTATGGTGATACATACTGCATCATACTTCTTCGTTAGCGTTGTTAGAAACATACCGTGCCCTTGTCACAAACAATATCCCAGCCTTGTTTGTGGTTCGCTTTCTCCCGTAGCCTTTTGACGCAGGCATCGTCACGAAGATCAGCCTCTTCAAATCGGACACTCTCATATTCAGGTCCACGCTTTTGACCAATCGCTTGTGCTAGCTGAATCGATGCAGGGGAATAATCGACACCCAGCATACGTGTTGCGTCAAGCGTGCCTTCTTCAATGTCTTCTTCTTGCTGTGCTTCTAGGAGGGCGAAAAGTAAATGTCCATTTCCTGTTCCCAAGTCCAATACATATGGCGAGGACTGTAGGTGCTCATCCTGCATCCATTCCGCGAGGAACTGCACCATTCGCTCTACACTGTCTTCGCCAAACCTGCATGGTAAGATATAAAGCCCACTTTACATACCATACTTCGCCTTCATCCCCAATCTCTTCGTATGTAGCTACTTCACGACTTTGTATGGTCAGTATGACAAGATTTCGTACGCGTAAACACTATCCCAGTGTTCTTTTGTGCCTAGTTTTGATTCTGGCAAGCTCTCAACAGGCGTCGTCATTAAGGAGCACTCCACATTACTACCACACCGCTATATAAGCTCTGTTCCGCACGTTGGACTCACGAGGAATGCACCTGGTTTGTCGCCAACAATGTCGTAGTTTGGATATACGAAGTCAGCCACCTGTACCTTAGCTAATAAGAAACGTAGTTTGCATCCAGATAGGATGGACATGCACTTGCTTCCCTAGTTTGGTAACAACTCTTCGCCATGGAATGTTGCTTTCTGGAGCCATGACCTACCGCATGAGCATGCACCCTTCTATATTGGTCTCTAAGGGATATGGCGTGTGATGGCACATTCTTTTGTTCCGGATCTAGCCTGCTAGTTTAGGCTAAGCTCCTTTTTTCTCTCATTAGGAATTGGGAGACCCATACATGCTAGGAAACCTAGCAAACAGAGCTACCTGACCAATTCATATGCACATACTACCCGACCATGTTTAAAAGCATAAATGGCAAAACGAGAAATCTGACTATACTACCCGATATCATATATGGTGGCACGCACATACTAAACTCAAAAAAAAAAAAAAGAACAGACAAACAGACAGACAAGTCGAATCGAAACAAGCAAGGTTCGTAGTGACAGAGTTGCCATTGCACTGCGAAATGCTACAGTGAGCAGGCTATTTTTCGTGTCTTTCGAAGCAGCGTATACATGTAGGTGGGTAACCAGCTAGTCAATGAAAGAACTTGTTCAGTAACGAGCTAAGGGTGGATCCGCTTAGCACTCATAATAAGGGAACGAAGCTCCTTTACGCCTTGCGACGGAACGAGCAGCCTTAGCATGTTAATAATGCGATCTTTGGGTCGTTGTACGTACCGACAGCGAGACGGGCCTTACCACCGGTCGGCTGGCTTAGGACCTGCGAGCAGCTGCCGCACAGGACCACCGACTGGGCATGCGAGAACACGGTGGTGATGGCGAAGCAGCCCGGGCACTTCACGTCCATGAAGAACGAGTTCGGGCTCTGGACCAGACGCTTCAGCTTGTGGCAGCGCATCTGCTGCTCGTGCGAGGGGTTAATGAGATCAACAGCGAGAGTCTGAAGAGTAAGTTTACTGTTCATACTGGGCTATACCCAGCATGTTCTACACATACCATCTTAGTACTTCAGCAAAGAGACAGCAGTTGAGGGTGAAAAGCGTTGTGGCGTTCGCGGCCAGTTCCACTTTCCTCGGTCCCAGCCTGTGGTGCGTTTAGGAATTCGAAGAAACTATATAGAGCATCACGTGATAGAAATTTTTCTTAAGTGATTTGCTTGAGAACCATGTCAAGCAGTGGGCCTAATAGGTGTCCCAACATTGTTTCGCACAGTTTTTGCGCCTGCTTTGTGACCAGCCCTGCCTCCCGACCCTTCTCTACAAACCAGCAAGCACGCAAGTTTGAGGTGAGTATCTGACTCTCCCTTTGTCGTGCCTGTGGTACTAACACATTACAGTCATGGTTAATCTTCGTGTGCAAAGGCGTCTGGCTGCGTCCGTCCTCGGTGTCGGTAAGCGTAAGGTCTGGCTCGACCCGGCTGAGCAGAGCGACATTGCGAACGCCAACTCGCGCGCGAATGTTCGCAAGCTGATCAAGGATGGTCAAATCATCAAGAAGCCGCTTGTGTCGCACTCGCGCGAGCGCACTCGTAACCTGCATGCTGCCAAGCGTGTCGGTCGCCACACTGGTTACGGTAAGCGCAAGGGTACCGCCGAGGCCCGCTTCCCGACCAAGGTTCAGTGGATGCGCCGCCAGCGTGTGCTGCGCCGCCTCCTTCGGAAGTACCGTGAGGCTGGTAAGATCGACAAGCACCTGTACGTTGAATTGTTTGAATGCGACTAACAACCTAGGTACCACGAGCTTTACCTTAAGTCGAAGGGTAACGTTTTCAAGAACAAGCGTGTCTTGATGGAGCACATTCACAAGGCGAAGGCCGAGAAGCTTCGCTCGAAGCACCTTTCCGAGCAGATGGAGGCTCGCCGTCTCCGCAACAAGACCTTGCGCGAGCGCCGTGCCCAGCGGGTTGCCGAGAAGCGTGCTGCTATTCTGGCTGTCGAGAACGACGCCGAGACTCAGCAGTAATTGCTCTCCTCCTCAACCCAAAAGACACCGCATATGGCGACGTGACGATCCAGTTTCAGCATGTCCAGCGCCCTCACTGTTTGCGCATTCTCTGCTTGTTTGCGGCAAAAAGTCATACTCGTTCTATTTCAAAGCTGTCCTGTTTACTTGCAGGTACGACTTGAGGTGGTTGTTTTCCATATGCATGCCTTGTATGTACTTGCATGTGTATGGTGGTACGTAATCCAGGTGGTTACGGCCTTATACCATCATGGCATACGTCTTGCTAGGTACTGCCTCGTTGGAGTTGGAAAGAGTTTGGCGTATTGTTCTTATAGGCAGGTGAGTGTATAGCATTAAAAATGCGTTGGATCCGTTTGATGCTGTGACTATGTGCGTACCATGGACTTGGTCGTAGGTGTGTACATTCTAAAATTCCTTTCTATTTATAGGCTGCTGCTGTAGTACCTTGCTTGCCGTGTCGCTTTCGAAGGTGGTGTGTCGAGGAAGCCCTGCGACCACTTTTACGCCTGGGAAAAAGAAGAAGTATCTTCAGCCGCAGTCGATTGTGTGAAGGTCGCCAACCTGCTCTGTACGTAGTCCTGCATTGTTAGTTACCTCTGGCATTCAACGTACTTGCGCCACCACAGCAATAGCCCCTTCGATCAAATCGCTCAGGGCCTGCTCCACCCAATGGTTATGTTCACGAGGGACCGTCACTAGAAAGTCAGAGATATTCGAAACGTACACCACCACGCTGGCACAGCTTGGCTGCATGTGCAATGACTCAGCTTGTGCTTTGGATCCACCCACCAGACATAGAAGAAAAGCGACTTAGCCTTGCTATCGCTTCGCTCTGTTCGACGCTGCTTCCCTTGACTTACAGTAGAGAACAAGTCGTCTTCTTCATTCAGGACTGTGTCGTAGAACGGTTGGATGCGCAGAATCACTGGGCATGTCTTTTCCGGTAGCATTACACCGTTGGTGGTAACAGAGTCACCTTGCTCCATCTCCTTGCATAGACGAGTCAATGCAGACTATTCATTAGTGCACCTGGTTCGTACCTTGGCTTGCTGTAGGCCTTGTGCACGGCTTTCTGCCGCATGGATATTGTAAGTGCCTTCTGGTTCCGTCGGTTGGTTTACATCGTCGAGTGTCACAGAAATATCCAGATCTGCTTGCGAAAAAATTCGCGAAAGAACATTAAAAGCCAACGTTTCAATACCATCATACCCGGCCATTTCTAATGTTGTTAGAATCATTGTACATACCATGGCTCACGGTGACTGCCACTGAATCGTGCACCTCTACGGGCAACACAACAGCATTCACAATGTCATTCCATCCTCGCTTGCCTGCTTCTGTGAGGTTTTGACCAATCTGCTCAAGTCCTGCATCATGCACAAAGCCACGCATGCGTTGTGCAAACTTGTTGCCCAACCCGTAAATGGCCTGGTCAGGCATGGTCCCCTCTTCTTTGCTGACGGTGACATTGGCTTGCTGGATCACCGACGCAGTTCTGCGGCCCAGTTCATTGCGAGCCTGTCCAGCGAATTTTGATGCGGTGGACAAGAAGCTGCCCCATTGGGTACTATTGCCCCACGCACTCCAGCTTGACGCATCCGTCGTTGTGTTATTTTCGGTAGCCGTTGTGGTGGCCGGCACCCCTTCAGACGTAGCACTAGAAAGAGGCGCTTTCACATTGGAGGTACTCACATCATGGTTGGACTCTGCCCGTGCAGTGGACAACTCAGCACTGGGATCCTTGGACGTGGCTGATGTCTCCATTTTCAACGGGCGCAAGTTGGAGACAGGTTTCGGTGAGACCGTCGAAGCAGGCGCAACTACCTCTTTTGTATCTTTTTGCATGGAGCGTCGGCGATGTACTAACCCTTCCAAATCATCTAACAAGCTTTGTGCATCGTCCGTGCGACCAGAGGACGTTTTGCGCTCCACTGGTCGGGGACGTGCGGCGGGTTTCCGCGTCGTGTCCGGTTTGCTAATGTCCAAGTCGAAGTCCGCCAGCAAAGCGTCTACATCTTTTTTGCGTGATGGTGCCGTGGTAGCTCGAGGTGTCTGTTCTTGGCTCATGAGCTTACAGTAGGTACACCCTGGCAGGCGTTGTGAACGAGTCTCTTGGCGCACGGAGTGGTCTAACCGCGGCCGCACGTGACGGACGAGGTGCGCACGTCCGTGGTGTCTTAGGAAAATGAACATACGCAAGGCCGTGTAGATCTGTCCCTCGTAGGGCCACTATACGTACCGTTGATGCATGGCGTGAATAAAAGGAAAAGGGAAGCAGAGTCGCATCGAAGCACTACATGGTGGGGGTCTCTTGATGAAGAATTGGAGGACAGCGAGCTTGACAGCGATAACACTAGTGTTTCTAGCCCTCTTCCCCCTCCATCTCTTCCCACCTCTTCTATACCCAGCTATCATTTGCAGTGGAAGAAACCGCGCTATGTGGAACGTGAAATTGGCCAGCCCATGTCCACTATGTCTCTGAGCCCCAAAATGGCAGATACTTTGGTGGATGAGGACATGTCATCCGGCTCTTCATATGAAATATCTCCGCATCGCATTTATGTACATACCTTAGAAGACTCCGATGATGAAGAGAGGGAGCCGGAATCGACTCCTGCTTGGGAAGTAAACCCTTACGTGGCCAAACGTTTGGAAGAAGAAGCACGTCGGCAGCAAGAACACAGACCGGTGAAATGGATCTCTCCTGAGAAGGAGGTCGTGCCATCGTCCGAATCCAATTCGTTGGTTTTATGGAGACCATCTGTATGGTCTTCACCTCCTAATATAGAGTCGCCCGAAGAAGACACTGGTGTAGAACCTATGGAGCTATAAGGTACTTGGTTGGTTGCATGCAGGGTGCAGCGCCTGGGTTGCCTCCATAACACACACCTACATTGTCTGTGCTGTCTCAATCCCGTCGATGGTTCCAACTTTCTCACAGACTCGTGTGCAAATCTTCCGTCAATATGAGTGATGGAAGTGTGCCGCGCCGTCAGCGCATTGAGAATGCCATTGACCAAATTGCCAAGAAACCATTACCTCCCAGGATTGACTTTACGACGTATACAATGGAGGATGGCGAGCAAGTGTCAACGCTTGAACGGGTTATTAAGGATGTACAAGCTCCAGCCTTTCAACCTCCCACACCTGAACAGTTCTGGAGCAAAAAAGATCCTACAAAGCCAGATATTCAGTTCTTGAAAAACCATTTCTATCGCGAAGGTCGATTAACGCATGATCAAGCACGCTATATCATCACGAAGGCCACTGAGCTCTTACGTGCGGAGCCGAATCTACTTGAATTGGATGCTCCTATCACTGTATGTGGTGATATTCATGGTCAGTACTATGACCTTATGAAACTATTCGAAGTAGGTGGCAACCCTGCCGACACGCGGTACTTGTTCTTGGGCGACTACGTGGATCGCGGATATTTCTCTATTGAATGTGTATTGTATTTGTGGTCCCTCAAGTTGTGGTATCCCAACTCCTTGTTCCTCCTCCGCGGAAACCACGAGTGTCGTCATCTGACTGACTACTTCACCTTCAAGCTTGAATGTACGTATAGGTCTAGTCGCACTAACCCTAGGCAAACACAAGTATTCAGAAGAAATTTATGACCTGTGTATGGAATCATTTTGCGCTCTTCCTCTTGGTGCCATAATGAACAAACAATTCCTATGCATTCATGGTGGTCTTTCTCCTGAACTTCAAACCCTCGACGACTTGCCGGCTATCAATCGGTTTAGGGAGCCTCCTACTCACGGATTGATTTGTGATTTGCTATGGGCTGACCCTCTTGAAGAGTTCGGCCAGGAGACAACCAATGAGAGTTTCGTGCATAACCATGTACGAGGTTGCTCTTACTTCTTTACTTACAACGCTGCTTGTCAATTCCTTGAAAGGAACAACCTCCTCTCAATCATTCGCGCTCATGAAGCTCAAGATGCTGGGTACGTGTTTGCTAGTCGAAGTCTAATATCAGTTACCGCATGTACAGAAAAACGAAAGTGACCGGCTTCCCATCTGTGATAACAATTTTCTCAGCACCCAACTACTTGGACGTGTACAATAACAAGGCTGCTGTGCTCAAGTATGAAAACAACGTCATGAATATTCGTCAGTTTAACTGCACACCCCATCCCTACTGGCTTCCTAACTTTATGGATGTCTTCACATGGAGCTTACCTTTTGTTGGTGAAAAAAGTACGTTGAATTCTTTTTTTACTTACACCGTCTTTAGTGACTGATATGTTGATCTCTATTCTTAACATTTGCTCCAAAGAGGAACTGGAGGAGGATGAAGAGGATGACTTTGTCTTTGCTGATAACGGTAGTCGTATTGGCGGCTCATCTGCCTTGTATGACCAAGCTGGCGATGACTTGTCAGAGCGCCGTACGGTCATTAAGAACAAGATCCTTGCTGTGGGTCGTATGTCGCGTGTATTCCATGTTCTACGTGAAGAGGCGGAGCGTGTTTCGGAGTTGAAGATGGCATCGGGTACAGGAAAGCTTCCGTATGGCACTTTGGTACTTGGTTCTGAGGGTATCAAGGATGTCATCCACAACTTCGATGAGGCTCGTAAAGTGGACATTGAGAATGAACGTATGCCACCGGCTATTGTGCCAGTGCCGACCACGACAGATTATCACGCTAGCCCGGCACCTGCTGTCCCAGGTGCTCTGGCTAATACGCCAACGCCTTCGTATCCAACATTGGAACAACGTACTCCACCGACTCATCGTCGTACGCACTCTCGTACGAGTTCGTTTGGCACCACGATGACAAGCCCCTCAAACCGCCGTCGCCCCATCGAGTCTACTGTGAGTATGATCAAGGAGGTGCTTGAGCACGGAACGGGGTCCTATTCGAGGAACAGTTCTCCCTCTTCGTCCCGGCCTAACAGCCCCCGTCGGTAATCTCGTAGCTTAATAGCCAGCCACTTCGCCCCTTCTCCTACCACGTGAGCTCCACGTGTCCCTCCACTGATCAGTGGCCGCGCGTCGGTGCGACCGTAGCGCTTGGATCCTAGTCTCTCGTGTCTTTCTTGGGATTGAGTGTTGCTTCGTAACCGAATCCATTATGCCTGTAGGACACCAGTTCAGCCCGTATACGTCTAATGGTGGCTCCATTATGGCCATTCATGGCGAGGACTACTGTGTCATTGCGGGCGACACACGTCAAAGTGAGGGCTATAACATTCAGACACGCTACAAGCCCAAGGTGTTTCGTTTGTATGTGCTTGCTACCGCGCGCCACTAACGACATAGAACAGACAAAGCTACCTTGGCTACGAATGGTTTTTCTGCTGATGCAGAAGCTCTTGTTGCTCGTATTAAGACGCGGCTGGAAATGTACCAGTACACCCACGGTCGTTCCATGCCATTGCATGCGATCGCCCGCATGCTTTCTACTATATTATACAGCAAGCGGTTCTTCCCTTACTATGTGTACAACATTCTTGGTGGTATTGACGAAGAAGGCCGCGGGGCTGTATATGGTTATGATCCTGTCGGCAGCTACGAGCGTATTGTTTGCTGTGCTAGTGGCGCAGCACAAGGCCTCATTCAGCCATTCTTGGACAACCAAGTCATGTTCAAGAACCAAAACTCTACACCCGAAGCTAAGATCCCTGAGCCAGGCCACCTTCCCTTGCCTCAGGCACTTCGCATTGTCATGGATTCTTTTACCTCTGCCACCGAACGCCACATTGAGGTAGGTGATGGCCTTGAAATCTTTGTTGTTCGGTCCACGTCACCACGCACGGATGCTTCCCCCTCGAACGTAGCGCCGGCATCCGAGGTCAATCTCGAGGAGCAGGGCGCCGTCGAAGCCCTTGGCGGAGAAGATGCCTACACTCCCGGAGCTTGCATGGTCATTCGGCGTGAGCTTAAGAAGGATTAAGTAGACTATGATGTCGATATAGGCTTTCGATCTATACCTTGCACTTGCCCACTCGTATGTCTTTGCATGTCTTGCTATTGCGGGGTGTCATGGTCATTCGACACCTGGTCTCGGCCGATGAAGACGTAGGCGGCGCATATACCTAGCATGCGCGTCCCCTCCATCAGGGCTTCATCGGAATGACAAGCACGGACGAGACCAGTACGAGTGTGACTGTGCACATTAAAGGCCCTAGTGCCTTGAAGCTCTCTCTCTCTGTGTCCTTGGATATGACAGTATTGCAATTGAAGGAACGCATTGAGCAGGAGAACAAGGACTTCCCTGCTGACAGGTACGTTTATGCAGTTTTTGAATGGACCACACTAACCTCTCAAGTCAGCGATTGATTTACAGTGGTAAGGTTTTGAAGGACCCAGAAACGTTGGAGTCGTATAAATTGAAGGATGGGCGTGCGTATTTTGTTTTAAACTAACGATGTAGATACGATTCATATGGTGCGGGCTGCCACACGATCGCAGAATGGTACTTCCTCGTCTACGCCTGCGCCTAAAGCATCCGCTACACGGTCAGCTGAATCGCAGGGCGTGCCATCCAACTTCTCTGCGGGTCAGCAATTTACCAACAACCCGTTGTCCGCCTTGAACCGAGCTGATTATGCTGGCCCGCATATGGCGAGTCTTCTCAACGACGCAGGTGGTATGTTTGGTGATTTCGGTGGTATGAACCCTCGCGATCCCAATGTCATGTTGGGTATGATGCAAAACCCTGAGTTCCTTCGTCATATGCGGGACATGCTGGGCCGCCCTGAAGTAGTCGACCAGGTTTGTGTACATGCTGACTTACTTTTCTAGATCATTGCGTCCAACCCACAGATGCAAGCGATGGGCCCCCATGTTCGTGAGATGTGTACGTACTTTGTACCATGGTTTTCTAACTAGCAGTACAATCCGAGCATTTCCGTGACATGATCACAAACCCAGAAGCAATTCAGCGTATGGCACAGCTTTCACAGCTCCTAGGTGGCCCAGGCCTAGGTGGTGTTGGCGGTTCCACTGGCGGTTCGTCTTGGCCGCCTGCTGGCGCCTTTGGGCAAAACGAAACGAACCGAGCTAACGACGCTGCAGGCGCGGCGCAGCCCTCGCCCAACCCCATGGCCAACTTGGCTCAGTTGCAGCAGTTGCTCGGCGGTTTTGGTGGAAACATGGGTGCAGGTGCTGGTATGGCGGGCAATCCATTCGCAGCTCTCGCTGGTTTGGGATCAGGCGGCCCAGCGTCTTCTGCCCCTAGCGATACACGCGCACCGGAAGAGCGTTACGCTGCGCAATTGGAACAGCTGCAAAACATGGGCTTCACTGATGCGCGCGCCAATCTCAGTGCCTTGCTCATGAGTGGTGGCAGTGTGGAAGGCGCTGTAGCTATTCTCCTCGACTGAGTGGTCTCATTCGGTCTCAACACTTGTACTCTGTTCCCGTAGCGACAATCCAATCAATCAGTACATTAATTGGTCATACATTCATATTACTAGCCACTATACAAAAGTGGTATCGATGATGGATCTATCGAAAAAGAAATAAAAATGTTGATGAGAAGTACGTTACGAAATCAGAGTCATTGAATACTAAAATTACTCCAGAGACGGGCGCTCCTCCGAGTCAATCGTGAGGATAATCTTGTCGCCCTCCCAGCGAGCACTGACCTTGCTGAGGTCATCGACAACAAAGTCAGCACCCTGCAACCAGAGGCGCTTGGCATCGTGGGTCGTCTTGAGACCGAGCACACGAGCACCAGCGCGCTTACCGCTAAGCACACCAGCCGGGGCGTCCTCAACGACAATGCACTTGGTGATGTCCACCTTGCTCAGGTCCGCACCCTTCTTGTAAGGCTGCGGGTCAGGCTTGCCAGCCGTAACATCGTCCGCCGAAACGAAGACCTCCGGGGCATCCGACGACTTGGTCGACAAGAAGGCCTTGCGGGCGTAGTCGCCCGTAGCGCTGGTGACAATCGCCCAACCAGGACGACGGCCAGGCTGCGCCTTCGAGCCCTCGTTGATCTGAGACAGAAGCTCCTTCACACCCGGGAGACCGACAATGGTGCCCTGCGGGTTCGCAGCGGTCGGCTCCGAGGTGGCCTTCTTGCGGTTCTCGTCCGAGATCACAGTGATGCGGTCCTCGAAGCGAACAGCCTCAGACTGGGCCTCTTCCGGCGAGAGGTGAGGAAGACGCTCCTGCAGGTTCTCCACGGTACGCTTACCGTGCGAGTTGTGCAAGAGATCGTCCAGGTCCATGCCGTACTGCTGAGCGAACTCAACCCAGACGGCGCTCAGGGCAGCCGTAGAGCTGATAAGAGTCTACAGTGTTAGTTCTTCATGTAAATGATCAAGTACATACACCATCCATGTCGAACAGCAGCGTGTCAACCTCAACCTCGTAAACTGGCATTTTGATATGAAAAAGTATGAAGGAAAAAAGACCGTCATGTTTCGGCTATTATATGGGCTGGTGCCTTGCGATGCGCGTTTCACAGTTCATGCATCTCGCGTTTGTTCTTCCATACAATGTCCGTCGCGGCGCACAGAAGTCCAACCTTTCCCGGTGCTCACCATGCAGGGATTAGATAAGCAAGCGATCGGCCTGTCCTTGTCTAAGGCACTTCAGTATTGGAGACATCCGATTGGTTTTGCTTACCTGCTTCAGGGCATGGCACGTGGGACGCGTGTCCTGCAAGCAGTCATCAACATCACCGTACGCATGAGAGCTATGTTGATGGCGAATAATATGGCCGCATCGGGTTTGACGAATATGGCACGACATCCATTTGCCCTGCCCTGGGTCTGGTAGAAGGTCCCGTGTCAACGTGAGCCATTCGAGACAAGGGGACCAAAAGTCTATTTGATTTATGGTCGAAGCAGTGAGAGAGAAATAGAGATCCTCGAGGTATGAATCCTCTTTTGCCTATTGGGGCTTTGATTCAGAATCAATAATGAGAATTAATTTATCGCCTTCCCATCGTGCCTGAACTTGGCTCAGATCCGAGACGACCCAGTCCGACCCTTGATCCCACATGCGCTGTCCATCGTGCGTGGTACGGAGGCCAAGCACCTTGGCACCAGCGCGCTTACCACTTAGCGCACCAGGCGGCGCATCTTCCACCACCAGACACTGAGAGATATCAGCATGACTCAGCTCAGCGCCTTTCAAATACGGCTCGGGGTCAGGTTTGCCTTTAGAGCAAACATCGGACGTGACAAACACTTGTGGTGGAACGGCTGTATCCGATGCTTTAAAGGCTTTTTGGGCATAGGCACTGGTGGCTTTTCATAAGCTGGATTGTCGATATACGTACCACTTGTTACAATGGCCCAACCGACGCGACGGCTCGGATTCTCAGCACGGCCAGCATTAATCTAGTAGGTTAATTATTTCGCATACGTACCTGTGCCAATAAATCACGCGCACCTGGCATCGACACGATGGTGCCCTCTGGGTTGCCCGTCTCCTTGGCCCGGCGCAGATTGTCTTCCGCGATCTCCAAAATACGACTTTCAAAGCGAATTACTTCCTGTGCGAGTTTCTCGCCTTCGAGTGACGGAATATAGCGCTTCAAGTTCTCGACAGTACGGTGACCATGCGAATAATGAAGCTGGGCGTGTGAGGATATGGATACATACCACATAATCAATATCAAGATTGTACTGATTCGCAAATTCTACCCAGGTTGCATTCAGGGCCGGCGTAGAATCGATCAGAGTACCGTCCATATCAAACAGGACCGTATCGACTTCGACTTCGACCTTCATGTTGGCGGAAAAATGAAGCCTTCATCCAGGTGGAGGCCCAGTGTATAAATCATAGAACGCGGCCGTGCCGTCTGTGCGTGTACTTTATTTTCAATGTCAGGCCCAACATTGCCATTTCGTCGACATGTTCATGACGTTGCACGAAGAGGCTTTGATGCCGTTGGCGCCTCTGGTCTGTATGACAAAGCCCGGCCGTCTTGTATGTCTCTTCCCAACTTACCCAGACCCATTGTCCCTGATCCATCGCGTATTGCAAGAGCCTGGTTCCCAACCCCTCCGTATTATCGACTTGGGTGCCGGCACAGGCATCGCTACGCGTCTATTGCTACAGGAGGCTCATAAATATGGTGGAATTCAGTCACTTCTCGCGGTTGATCCGTCCCCGGGCATGCTTTCTCATCTCCGAACTACCTTATGCGACGCTAATGATGGGTGGGTAGCTCGATTAACACGGCAAGGTATTGTACCGCCTAAACTTCGTGTGGAAATCAAACAGGGGACGTTTGATTGTTTCGATGGCGGACATGACAACGATCTCGTGGTGATTGCTCAGGCTTGGCACTGGTGTCCCGATTTTGATCGCGCACTATCCCAGATTGCGCAATCCCTACGACCTGGTGGGATTTTGGCCCTGATATGGAACCTGGAGGACAGGGACGCAGGTACGTATGCACATTCTTACGGTAGCAACATGGGTGGCCCAACTCCGTGATTTGTATGAGCAATTTGAAGATAATACACCTCAATGTACGTTTCTTGCGTCACTGACAGGAAGACCGACACATGCGCTGGCATGCCATGTACGACGCCCCCAGCTTTGCACGCTACTTTGAAACGCTGGAGCCCATCCATATACGATACACCCTTCCCACGGATATGTCTGGCGTGATCAATCGCATGTTATCCAAGTCCTACATCACCGTACTTGACAAAGACCGTCAGGCAGACTTGAGCGCGCAGGCGGAGGCGCTACTCACCAAGCCCGAGATGGATCGCACTATGCTCGATTCAGCCCAGCAAATATGGGCGTATCCTTATCGTACTGGTATGTGGTAAACTAGTACACCGCATGAATTAATTATCAGATTTGCACATGTTCCGTCGCTGTGCCTAAAATTACGTCTGCACCGGTCGGTACAGCAGAGTCGTTACATACTACCATGTAAGCACAAGCGATTCACATACCTTGTTCTTATATCGTGTCACGGTGCCCATAGCTAGCACACCGTTTTTAATGGCGCCTGTGGCCAAATGATTCAAAACGGCATGGTTGGGTGCAGGTAAAATGCTGTTGTCGTCCACAATGGCTGCAGCTGTATTGATGGTCGTCTCTTTGTTGGCCATCGTCGAGTTCAACAGGACTTTTTCAAGCTGCCTAGGAAGTTGAGGTGGTGCCGGAAGAAGAGAAGATGCTTCAGGCTCTAGCTCTTGCTCGGCAAGCTGTTCTTCTGCTTCTTGCGCGACTTCAATGCTCGGTGGCACTTCCGACGTCCATGCGCCCTCGGCATGCCCGGGAATTTCATCCAGCACGTCCCATTCGCCACGAGGATTCGCCGTAGAGGAGCGAAGTTCAGCCATCGCGCGTTTCCAAGCTTCGTCACGGTGCACATCCAGACGAACACGGTCGTCATCAGGCTCACACGGATTCGGTATCTCGACATAATTGACGAGCGTGCCGTCACCGTCAGTGGCTGTATGCAGGTCATGCGATACACGCCAGCGGTTGTCCACCACGAACTTCAACCTGTGCGTGCCAGGCGGGAGATACAATGTACACAGAAACGGTGTGCCTGGCCGGATTTGCCGCAATGGAATTTTGCTGCGCCATTCATCGGCAAATGTACCTGTCACATATACATGTTGTCCCTTTCCACGCCAGATCAAATTCAACGGCGTAAGGGGAAGTTCAGGCGAATGAAGCATATGATCCGTCTCCATATGTGCCATATCGTGCAACTCCGCTGGGTCGTGCTCATGCTCGTGGACGGGCACAGCATGCTCTGAAGAGAAATGTAGGTGCGGGACCGTCACAGCCCTAACAAGGCGTGGAGAGTCCCTATCCTGGGACGCCGTATCCAACTCGGTGGAGCTCGAAGTGGATGGAGGAGCATTCTCCTCTGCCGCCGCTGCATTTGCAGCCGTTTGTGCCATATGGGCCGATGTATATGATCTCGGAATGGCCGTGGGAATCTTCAAATACGAAGGCAGCGCAGAGATCTTGCTGCTGCGTCGATTGCGAGGTTCTTCCTCACTGCCAGAGTCTGAGACATTCCGCTCCATGGTGGGCTCTGGCAAAGTCATTAGCGCTTCATCATTAAACAGGAACGACCGTCGCAGCGCATGGCTGGGCATGCTAGGCTCATTCACCACCAAGCTGCCTCGTTGCTCCGCGCGCGGCGTATGAGGTGCATTTGCAGGGCCTGATACAGCACGCGGTGTAGGCGCATCTGGTGCCACTTCGATGTGGGGCGCGTCGGTCTTGATACCGATATCACTCACTGGCGGCCTTCGTGCCGAGAGACCCTGTGGGGAGTTCCGACCAGAGTCGGTATAGATAGATTCAATGTCACTGCTCGACAGCGATGGCCCGCTGTCCTGGTCCGTGGCTGAGTCGGGCTCCACGAGACTCATGTCGCTTCCGCCATATCGACCATATGAGCTTCCGGCTACAATCACATGAGCCCTGGTGGTTTTCTCCTCAAAGATCGTTTCAGATGCCTCGCTATCACTGTTCTCTGCAGAGGACGGCGTAGCTAAGCTAATGCTGTGGGAATACAGATGACCTGGCCGGTGTTTTGTGATGACGGGATGGTCGTCACGAGCGTGGGCATTTTTACCGTGTTTACGGCTTTTGGCCTGGTTCTCGCCATCCTGGAGCACCGACTGTGTATTTCCCATCGCAATAACGATGCGTGATACACTTACGGCCACTACGTCCTTTTGTCTATGCACACACGATGGGTGGTCAATAAAGCTGGTTGTATGGCTACCAAGGGACGGAACGGCGGGTGAATGGAGGTGTGTATGGGACACTGGCGCCCCTGGAGCGAGCATACACGTCCTCCTGCCCTTTGCTCTACATGAAGGTGCATGTACGCAATTGGCACCCGATAGGCTACTGGCGTATGTACAAGCAGCTGCCTTACACAAGACTGGAACGTACGCGATCCTGATGACGTATGTGGTATTTGCCAGAACTACTTTGATGGCGTATGTGGCGCCTGTCGTGATCCTGGAGATGCATGTCCCTTAGGTATATGATCATGCATGTACTTACGCTGTAGCCGTCGGCGAATGCAGCCATGAATTCCATTTGCATTGTATTACCAAATGGCTCTCGGAAAAGCATGAACCGTTGTGCCCCTTATGCAAGCGGCCATGGGGTACGTTTTTGCACATGCTCACGCTCAGTGGAAATCCCTCCCGACCATGCTATCTCGTCTTCCGCTACGTAGGACACGAGTCTCTTACGCGATACCCCCTATAGACCCTACGTTGTAGGTAGGTAGGTCCAAGCCCCCTACGACTTATACGCGCTTGCTCGCGCTCGTCCACTCCACCGCACGTGATGTGTGTTGTTCTCTTGCTACCACATGCCCCCCGCATCGCGCGTGCATACGAAAGAGCGCTCAGCGCTCTCGCCGATGCGTGCGCGTGCCTCTGCAAGACGTGTGCTAACGAATGCGACCAACAAAGCAGGCCACATGACCCGACATGCGGCGCCACCTTACGAGAAACCATCCACTACAGATATACATAACCTGTTTGTGCTAGAGAAACAGCGCATGCAAGCCACACAACGTCGTGAGAGTGCTGAGCGCGAGAGCCGTCGCGAGCGGGAGCGTCATCTGGATGAAAGATTGCATTCGGAGCGTCGTATCGCGCAAGAAATGCGGCCTGCGCAAGGTCCTGGCTGGCGTGGCTACCAAGATTATGAGGTGGATTTACTGCAGGCCGAGCATACGCGTACTGTCCAAACACTCGAAACAGAGCTTGCTAAGCTCCGAGAAGAGAATGACAAACTCAAGGAAGAAGCGGCTCAGCAATCCCATGCGCAGCACCAATTGGATGCAACGACATCCGCGTTGCAGCAACGCGTCGTAACCCTTGAGACGGAACTGGCCACGTTTCATGCACAAACGTCTGAGCTGCGTGAAGAAGCGGCGAAGACGCGTGAATATGCATCAGATCTAGAGCACAGGCTTCAAGAAGCTGAAGCACTACGTCGTAAGCTGCACAACGAGGTCCAGGACTTGCGTGGCAATGTCCGCGTGTACGCCCGCGTTCGGCCTCCACGCCATGAAGGTGCCGTGATAGACATTCGATACCCTGATCGCCGCATGGCTACACAGATTGAGGTGCATGCGCCTATGGAGAGTGCTACCGGTTCAACGTCTGTGAAGACACATGCATTTACGTTTGATCATGTCTTTCCGCCGCAAGCAACACAAGCCACTGTGTTTACGGAAGTAGCGGATTTGCTTCAAAGCGTGTTGGATGGCTACCATGTACGTACGTACCTGACTGACAATAGACAACCATCTTTGCATACGGTCAAACTGGCTCTGGGAAAACACATACGTTAGAAGGCAGTGCGAACCTCGAATGGACGCAAAGCGCCACGTCCATGCTGGAAGAGGAAGCAGGCTTGATTCCTCGTGCCATGCATATGCTGTGGAAAGTGGCTGCGGCTCAGCAGAGCCTTGGATGGAGCTATACGTTTGAAGCGCAAATGGTCGAAGTGTACTTGGACCAGGTCGGTGACTTGCTCAGCGCCGAGACCAAATGTGAAATTCGGCATACCCCGACGCATACACACATTGACAAGGCCGTGGTAGCACCGTTGCACAGTCCGGAGGATGTGTACCAACTCTTGTCCCAAGCCAAGCAACGACGGCATGCGGCTGCGACGCGGATGAACGAACGGTCTAGTCGCAGTCATAGTATATTTGCTCTCCGGGTGCGTGGCACTCACACCGAGGGGGAGAAAACCGATGCTGTGCTCAATCTCGTCGACTTGGCAGGTTCAGAGCGACTTGCAACCAGTGGTTCTGGATCAGATGCCCAGCGATTGAAGGAGGCACAGAGCATTAACAAATCGTTGAGCAGTCTGGCTGACGTTATCGGCGCCTTGGCGACAAATGCGAAGCATGTGCCCTATCGCAATTCCACCCTGACGTGGCTCCTTAAACCCTCGTTGAGTCGCGGGTCCAAGACGTACGTAAATGCATGGCATAGAGCTAACCCCTACCAGCCTCATGTTACTAGCACTATCTCCGCTACAAGCGCATATGGGGGAAACCCTGTGCTCATTGCGATTTGCCGCACAGGTTCATGGCACACACCTAGGCGTAGCACGTACAACGCGACCCCGTACATAGACGTAAGCCCCTTACTTTTCGCTCTCCTCGTCAGCGTACTTGAGCTTGAGCTGAGCAATCTTCTCTTCCACGTTCTTGATGTTCTCCTCCGTCTGACGCGCTTGGTTCGACACGAAGTACTCACGCTTCAGCTTGATGTTGTCGACCACACGTGGCAAGTCAGCCGCATTCGCCGGCGGCGGAATACTCAGGCTCAACAGGGCCGACAGCATACCGAACGGCACATGCAGTGCACCATACTCCGACTCGGCCTGCTTGACCTGGTGATGCTTCTTGTTTTTGCCCTTCTTCTTTGCAGAGCCAGCAAAGTATTCTTCTTCCTCGCCCTTCTTGCGCGCGATGACTGCACCTTCCGGCACAGCCGAATCCGTACGACGCATCTCCGGCAGCGTCGGCAGCGCAGTCGACGACGACGAGGTCGAAATGGCGTCTTTCTTCTGGGGCTGTGCGTCCGTCTCGCCACTAAAGTAGCGGATCAGCACATCACAGTCTTCAATTTCCTTTGCAAAGGCGGGCATAGCAGCCTCCTCGCGCATATCCTGCTCTTCCTGCGCAAGACGGGCCTTCGACGCCTCCAAGCGCTCCTTGCGGATCGCTTCGTTGCGGCGCTCTCGCTCGGCATGCACGCGTGCAAAGTACTTGTCGTTCTCGGCATGGTACGCCGTCAGACGGTCACGGCGCTCCTGGTACAGCTCGTCCAGTGTCTTTGACAGCGCTGTCCGCTGGTTCTGAAGCTTGCTTCGGCTGCCGAACGTCTTCTCCTGCTCCTTGGCCAAATCGTCCAGCTCCTTCTTGATGGCGTCGTAACGACGGTTCGCAGCGGCCGTCTCAGGATCATCAAGCGACGAGCGAAGCTCTTCGACACGCTTGCGCAGCGTATCAATCTCCGCCTGTTGCGTAGAGAACTGCTCCAGCGACCTGCGTGTCTTCTTGAGCATAGACACTTCGTGCAAGGCCTTGCGCTCCTCCACGATCTTCATCGAGCCAGATTCAATCTGCGACTCGATGGAGCGGATGTGCGCATCCAGCTCCGCGACAGACTTGAATGGCGCCTTGGCCTTGGCCGCTTGCAGCGTCTTGACCTTGCTAGCAATGCCATCCTGCACCTGCTTGAGCTCGTCAAACACCTTACCGCGCGAGCCCTTGCGACCAGCCTGCTCCGAACGAAGGGACTCTAGCTCAGCACGCAGTTCAGCACGGCGCTTGCCCGCCGGGGTATCAGTGGACGACTCACCAGAGAGCGCCGCACGAATCTGAGCAATCTTCGCGTGGGTCTTGTCAATCTGAGACTTGATACGCTCCATCTCCTCATTGTGCGCCTTTTGGTCAGGACGACCACCGGGAAGCTTCACGATATGAATGTGCGAAGTGTCGCCCTGCTCCGCGTTTTCAACCTTGCCTGTTCCGACCATGGTGAGAACCAACAGAACCCCGGACGGCGGCATCCCTGGCCCTTGTCGTTCATTCGCGGCCTTCTTCGCGCGTGTTCTATCACGTGATATATCTACGTGGCGCGTGCTTGCGAAGCCGAGGAGGCGTGTCGTAGCGCGCGTTTGGTCTCCATTTCATGCCAGTCTCCACCGAGCGAGGATAGGACCCTGAAGATATGTGAGTGTAAAGGATACATACGCAGCAGGCGCCTCCGGACGAGGCTCTTCAGAAATAAAATACGCGCTTCGAAGGGCGCGCTGGGCACTCCAGCGCTGCACTGGGTTGTAGGTCAGCAAACCGTGGGCCATCTCCAGGGCACCAGGGCTCACTAACGCGGCATAATGCTGAGCTAGACCATCAGGGGTATCAGAACTTGGGTCCGTCGTGGGTGTAGATGAATCGAGAAACTTGATTTGTGAGGTATCTTTATCGAGCCGAAGCAGCTCGTACCACGGGAGTGTGGTTACATCCGGCCAGGCGGATGCGGTGAGCGCACCAAGTGTGCGTGTGATTACATGCAATTGATGAATTTCGTCGCGACCTTGAAACAGGGCCTTTCGTGTAAATAGCTCCAGGAATAAGCACCCCGCACCCCACATATCCACTTCCGGCCCGTAATGCGTGGCGCCGAGCAAGAGCTCTGGTGGTCGGTACCATAGGGTCACCACACGATTCGTATAATCACCGGCTTTGCGTTTATAGTATGTGCGTGCAAGACCAAAATCAGCGAGCTTGAGAATACCTTGGTTGTTGAGAAGGAGATTAGAGCCTTTGAGATCGCGATGCAGAATCGCGCGTTGGTGTAGATAAGCTAAGCCATGAAGTAGTTGCGACGCAAGGGATTTGCGATGCGCATCGGTAAAGGACACTTTGGGATGGACAAGGATCCCATGTAAATCATGTTCCATATACTCAAATACCATGTATACAGAGCCGCTCCGGCTCGTCATGGTCTCGTGCAGGCGGATTACATTTTCATGACGCAGGGACTGAAGAAGCTTCATTTCCCTCATCGAGGTGACCGGGAAACCCTCACGAGCCCCGTCCATGCGAATACGTTTCAAGGCAACAAGCGTCCCCTTCCTCGAGGAGGTGGCTTTGTATACTTGGCCATACATACCTTCACCCACTTGCCCTACAATATCGTATGCCTCATCGAGATGGACATGTGCAGTGGACTCATAGGTCTCTGGTGTGGAAGAAGCAGGGGACTTATTGGCCGTAGACAGGCGCGCATATAGTGGCGGTGGGCCAGGGGGGGGTCCTGGAGGCGGAGGCCCCGCTGGATCCGATCTGGCGGTAGAATCGGTGCGTTTCTCCTGAACGGCTGTCCAGCCCTGCGAAGCTTGTCTAGCGCGTTCTGCTGCACCACGTATGCTGAGTGCCGTACCTTTACGAGGTAAAATCTTGGCTGTCTCTGTACTAGACTCTTTCTCTGAGGGCCCACGTACAGAATCCCTTGACCGGGACGGGGACTGCGTCGGCGTCGGTGATGCACTTTCTCGTCGCCGCTTACGCTCAGGAGGACCATAGTGAGACTTGGAAGAGCGATAAGAGGAAGAGCGCGGCTCTCTATGCCTCTCATCAAATCCATTATTCCTTGAGGAGGAGCGCTCATGTGTTGTATCACGAGGCCTTTGTTTGTGGTACGGATAGGTACGCCTTGACCGGTCACGATCACGACGGCGATCCCGGTCCATATCACGCTCACGATGGCGGTCTCGATGAAAGTCGTGAGATGATGCGTGAGCATAGTCGGAATCATTTTTTTGAGGGCGGCCATATTCGCGAGTTGGTCCATGATGGGCCTGTCGTGGCCCATCCTCTTGTCGACGATGGGACGACCACGACCAAGACGAGCGATCGTCGCGGTCACGGTTTTCATGCGGCTTGTTCGGGCGGTATCCCCGAGACGTCTCCTCTCTCCATGATCCTTCCGTATCTCGACGGGGAGGACCGTGTCCACCACCCGATCGCGATGACGCCGGACGCATATCGAGCACGACCTCACCTTGTTCGTGCAGCCACGACATCAAACGTCTGCACGTCCACCGCGACCGAGTCATGTGATGCCCTCCACATCCGGTTGGAGACGAAACAGTGGCGTTACAAATTGGAAATGCCTTAGCCCTGACAAGGTGGCACTAGGGCCTTCTCCGTGGACATGTCGTCAACGGTGCCCTATGCATCGTTTCACCCCGGCATACCAGCAAATATTGACACAAGAACAGGAACACCAAATATAGTACCCATGCAGACGACGCCTGGAATGCCAGGGGGCCCGGCAACGCCTACTGCACGAACACGACCAGCGCCAGGGAACAGCGACTCGAACCACCCGCCACGCAAGCGTAGCAAGGCCCAAAGCTGTGAGCCATGCCGACGCCGAAAGCTTAAATGTGATCGTGGCTGGCCTTGTGGTGCGTGTCGCGATAGAAACGAGCAGCATCTATGCACGTGGGAAGACGGCGTGGTGCCGGAGCGAGCTGGCCGTGACGTGAATGAATCAGCTATGATGCTTCAACGTATGGCTACGCTAGAGAACCAATTTGAGCGATTGCTAGAGCGTCTTGATAATATCCAGGCTCTTGCAAACACGAACGAAGCTAAGCCTGTGCCAAAAGAAGAGGTCAGCATGGCATCCGCTCAGAATCGTCGAAGCGAGGATTTGGGCGATGTGACGATGGAGAGTCTAGGCCTCTTTGGTATGTACTTCCTTCCATCCGGCTTGAAAGAACGTCAGCGGGCGCTTTTGCATATGCACTCTTTTATGTTGAGCCCCAATATGATCGAGTTGCTCTTTGAAACGTTCCTGTCCGAAGTGCCCTGTCTGCAGCACTTCGTGGACCCAGCGTACCTGAAAGTCTGCTCGGAATCCATCATGGAGCTGCGTAAGAATATGCACGCAGACCAGAACTATGTTTATTCGCTCGATGTGCAGAAGATAACCGACTATATTTACGCGGAAGCCCTGTCCTTTGCCATCTTCGGCACGACGCTCATTGTTACACGAGATATTCATTTGGAGTCGCTTCCTATGGAGTACGAGTCTATTTCGGCTCATTTGCGTTTCTTTAAGGAAGCGTTGATCGGAATGTCGTCGTTATCGGCCTTTGAAGAGCCTGATATTCGGTTTGTTGTCATCATGACGATGCTTGTCTGGGGCTTGAATGCCACCCGTAAACTTCCTATGGGTATGACCATTCATTTCCAAACTGTGCAGATTGCGCTGCTACTTGACTTAAATAAGGATCCACCTGCCGATATGCCTGAAGATGAGGCTAAACGTCGCGTGCGCATCTACGCAGAGTTGTATGTACAGGACAGGTTCGCTACTACGCTGCTGAAGCGGTATCCTTTGATCAAAAAAGATCCTGTACGTATGCCATCCTTGTTTGGCACAGATGAAGAGCAATCGCGCTACTTTACCGACTGTGAACGCCATCGCTTGAAAGTCGCCGATCTGTACTGTCGGTCCTCCGAACTTGTTTTGCCATTGCACGATACATATAAATACGTGTGCGATTTGCATGAAGAGGCTGTTCACTTACAGTCCTTGATACCCCTTTCATGCGAGAACGTGCCACTTTGTGATGCTCTTCAAGAGCATAAGAAAGCATACATGATCATTTCGGATGCTTCTCTCAGTTACCTGCTAATACGGATCCATCTGCCTTATTACATGCGTGGCTGGGACGATGAAGCGTACCAACTCTCACGTGATACGTGTTTCAGCTCTGCGCGCAGCCTATTACGACTTTTTCGTGAAGCGTTCAGTTGGAAGATTCCCAAGCCCAAAGGCGATGGCCCTGTGGAGTTGTATGTGCCAGAGGAGGTGTCTGTCACGGCGCGTATGTGGTTCTTCTGCCATTGGGCCACGGCAGCTGCCCTACTTCTTTTGCAGCATTTGACGATCTTAAATGAAAGGGAGGATCACCCAAGGTGGGATGCGTCGCGTGAATCGATTGTGCAGGATCTGTGCACGATGAGTCGCCTCCTGAACTATTTATCGCCTATATCGAGCATTGCACGTGAGGGCCTGGAATCCATGCAGCGTGTCGCCGCGCACGCGATGCGTCAGAACTTTGGTACCACCACCATGTCGATGGGCAACTGCGTCATGTACTGGGCCAACCGTAATTTGCAGCGTCGGCCTAATACGAATGCCAGCAGAAGCTCTGAACCTATCAATGTGCTGAACAATATGGTCCACAAAACAGGTATATCGCGTGATGCCTACGATGTAGCGGAGAAGGAGGGCGAGGCTGTGAGGAAGGTGTCGACGCCCGCTTTTGACCCGTCGGGCACCAACACAAGCCCTGGAAGCACCAGTACGGCGACGCCAATGAATAGTTCTGGCCCGGGTATGACACCTTCGATGTCGGAGACGGATCTGGATACATTTTGGGCCAAGTTTTCGCTGCCGACGGACAATCCATGGATGGACCTGCCCAATTTCCCTGCCGATGTCTCGATGCTTGGCAACCTGCCTGAGCCTTCGAGCCTTTTGCTGCCACAGACGCAATCGCTGGGCGCCAACATGGACATCTCGCAAGCATTGCAGCCGCGTGATCAACTGGTACCCGAGCTGACCAATTTCAATATTGGCACCATTGGCTCGTTTACCGACGACTTTTTGCGGTCCATTGACAATTACAAGGGCTTTGATCATGGTGGCACACCTACGCAAATGGCCATGCCCGTGCCACAGTTCCTTGCTCCGATGAATATGTGATATAGTGTGTTTATATGATGTTAGTCCATAGGTGGGGGAAAGGCAGGCAGGGATTTCCACTCGTAGCTCCACTTCTGCGACGCGGTGGATGGGCGCAGGTCGCCAAGTTACCACGGTGCAGCATCACAAGCAGACTATGCGATGCCAGGGGAGACGCAAGAGGATCCGGACTGTGTTGATTTGACCCTCTCTGATACAGAGGAGCTGGACGAGGAGGCCTTTGAGGATGTTGATGTGGCGGAGAAGACTGGGTCCAGCACAGACAATCTCTATGCCTCGCTGTACGATGCTGTGCCAGACGGGGACGCGACACCAGAGGCGGCAATGCTGGAAGACATACGTCATGCTACAACACAGGCGCCTTCTATACAGATTACATGGGCGCAATCCAAAAGCAAGGCGGCGTCGCGCACACGGACAGCCACCACTACGCCACAGGATCGAAAGAACCGTGTGCTTGTGCACCAACTCCATGTGCTTAGTATATTGGCGGCTACACGGCTTCGCAATCGATGGTGTAATGATGAAGCGCTTCGTGACACGCTCCAGGAAGCCGTACCTGACATTCTCTTGCGACAGCTGCAAGCCATCCATCCGAAACTTGTGCCGGAGAGACGAGAGCGAGTGCGCATGTTTGAAGCGTTCATGCATGAGCTAGTGGAATGGTGGCATGTCCGTTTCTATGTCAAGGCCGGTGTCGCTGCGTCGGCAGCCTGGCGGCAGCCCCAGCTGGATTTGTGGCAGCCCCAACCTATATCCCCCCCCGCTTGGATCGATGGATGGTGTGCAGAGACGCCCAAAGGACGAACACAGCGCCATCGACGCGAATCCAAGACCAAAAAGAAAGCCATGGAAGTGGCCATCTGCCCCACAGGCCCCACGACCAGTGTTCCGACGTATCTCTACCTACTCCCCCCGCCCGAATCGACATCATCCGCCCACGGCCTTCGACAGGCAGCGCGAGGCCGCGTTGGCTCACGCGAGACCAAAGCCATCTTGTTCTGCGCGTTATGTCGCTCTCTTGGCATTCCTGCACGCCTCGTGGTGAGTGTGCAAGTATGTCCGTATTCTGCGGCGAAGACATCAGCCCGTCCCTGGGCCCAGGGAAGTGCGCATGAGGGAGGCAGCTTATACATCGAGCCGTTGGACGAAAAAACGCCGCCTACAGTATGGGTCGAAGTGTACAGCAAGCCCTACCAACATTGGCTCACAGTCGACCCAGTGCGTGGGTTTGTCAAAGCGACGGGCCTCCGGAATATGGAGCCGTTGCCAGCGCAGCGCCAAAACAAAATGGTGTACGTGGTGGCATTTGAGGAAGATGGGTATGCCCGCGATGTCACAGCTCGCTATACAAGGACCCTGTATTCACGCGTGATGCGGCAGCGACCTACCCCGCGTGGCGTTGATTGGTGGGCGAACGTGGTCAAAGCCCTGCATCGACCTCAAAAACTCGATCGAGATGCGGTCGAAGATGTGGAGTTGGAAGACAATGCACGACGAGAGCCGATGCCGACGAGTGTGAATGGATTCAAAGACCATGCCGTGTTTGCCCTGGAACGACATCTGCTTCGCGACCAAGTCATTCATCCGATGCACCGCGTCGGTACCTTTCAAGGCCAGCCTGTATACCTCCGAGCGCATGTACTAACGCTGCAGTCTGCACGGCAATGGTACAACCAAGGGCGCGAAGTCAAGCCAGACGAGGTCCCGCTCAAGTGGGCCAAGCCACGCGCGTACACAACGCTCAACAAACGGCTGGAAGAGCAAGCACGCGCGAGCGGGAACGATGTGCAGGAAGGACTGTTTGCCGAGTTTCAAACGCGCCGTTATATCCCTCCTGCTGTGGAACATGGCCGCGTCCCATGCAACGCGTTTGGCAACGTGGATTTGTTTGTGCCGTCTATGCTCCCACGCGGTGGGACGCATATCCCCCATGCCCTAGCAGCTCGCGCCGCGAAGCATGTCGGAGTCCATTACGGCGATGCTGTCGTGGGCTTTGAGTTCCGTCGGTTTCGCAGTCTTCCCAAGCTGCAAGGCATTGTCGTGCCAAGGGAGAGTGCTGACCTCGTGCGAGCGGTACGTCGTATGCAACCACTAACAGCAGGCCATCGTCGAACTGGAGCACCAAGAAGCCCAAACGGAGGCGGCAAAGCGACAAAAGCGCGCTATGAAAAACTGGTCGAAGCTGCTGACCGCCCTGGTGGTCGCGCGGCGTGTCCAGGCCGAGTATCGCACGGATCCGCCCACGCATCCTCCAGGGCGTGCGATGCGTGAGGACCTACCTACTCGTGCACCAGAGACGCGGCAGCTGCGTGATATGCCGGTGGATGGGCTGGAAGCGCCGTCAAGTGCCCCTGTCCTCGACCATCCACCACCCCCTGAAAAGGCAGCGCCACGTTCCGGTCCTATTCTCTCGCTGGATGCTCTCATGGCCGCGGAGGCTGCGGCGCAGCCTACCTCGACGTCTGTGCACGACGCGGAAGATACCACAGAGACGCCAGCACCCAAACGGCGCCGTATTGTGCTTGTGCGACGACGCACAGGACCGCGACGCAGCCAGCGGCATGTGTCGCGTCCTGCCCGCTCGTACGCGGAGGACGACGCTGACAACGAGGACGACGAGGAAGCCGCATGATATTATGTAGTTATACAACTGGCGCCATGTCTATATCGCGATCTTTCCTGCAGACCCAGAAGGCCGGGGTATAGTGGTGCAGTAGCATGTGGTTCGGCATGCCTGTGTACATTTGTGGCTCCAGCATCCGTGTCTCCTCAATGACAAAGCCACATTGGACGACCAGCTCCAAGATCTCATCGAGCGTTAGCTCCACGGTAGGCACGTCTTCATGCTCGAAATGCCAAAGCAACGGTCCTACATTGATCCAGTAGCCGCCCCTAGGGAGCAGAGCATTGATCACTTCCAAGTAACGGATCACATTCTTCGCCGTGTCCATGAAATAACAGGTCGCCACGGCATTCCATGTGCCACGCTCTTCCGGCTTAGCATACACTTCGACGAACTCGCCAGCGACCATACTGAAGTCCGAGTCGGCTGGCAGCGCAGAAGGGAGCGTGTCTGGTACGGCCACGGCCCGAAGCATATCCGCCGCATGCACCCAGTTGCTTGCGCCGTGAATGTAGGGATACAGCGTGTGCTGGTGTACATGCGTCGTGGCGTTAAGGATGAAGTGCGCTGGAATCAACATAAAATAGCTAAACTCGTTGCCTTGCGTTGTGTAGCCAAGACGTGCGATATCAAACGCAAGTCGGCCTAGACCCGCGCCTGGGACAAGGACCCGTTGGGCACGTCGGTCGTTGGGCAGTCGCGCCACGAGCGCATCGAGAATGGGTTCATACGCTAGCAGACGCTCCATTTCGCCTTCTTGACTCCAGTCACGCGCCATTTGCTTCATCGCTGTACGAACACGATCCTGATTGGTTTCCGACACTTTGATACGGTCCTGCGTCGAAAGAGGCGCCTCGTTGTCTTCTAGGATGCCCAGGAAGGTACGGCAAAACTCACTCATGGCCTCGAGCACATCCGCATTGCGTCGAATTCGGTCGTCGACTTCCTGCAACTTCGCTTTGAAGCCATGAAACGATGTACCTGAGCCTGCTGGTCCAGGCACATCGGCACGAAGGCCCAGTAGACGATCCTGATGGGCCCGAGGTAAAGAATACAGGGCTTTGCGGCGCTCATTGTTTCGTTGCATCTACATGTTAGCGTAAGTACCACGTACCGAGTACGACATGTAGTCGTTCCATGCCTGCAACACCTCCTGAAAATGCTGCCGTTCCTCATCCCACCCGGCAGAGTCGGCCATGATGGAACGTCGCGAAGAAGGCGTGGAGGCGTCCGTGCACAATGGAGGTGGATGTCACTACATCTTGCTGGCTTCCCACCATGCCGTGGACAGAGACGCGGCACCGAAATGGTCATACGCTTGGTAGGCCTGGCGATGAGGACAAAAGCAAGCCTAATTTGCGATGGCGTATGACAGAGGAGGATGTGTGGGAGGACGAAGATACGGATGCGTCTTCCGATATGGCCTCGGCGGAGGGGCACATTAGCACGGCCTTACCAAGTCCTGTCACCTCCGAGTTTCTCAAGCGCTCGCCCAAGACTGATACAGCGGGCATGGCATCGTCGACAGAGCATGTGATTAAGCCACTGGCACGACGACCGTCCAGCAGTGCAACTGCCGTATCCCTCGCGGACGATGGGAGCGCAAACGAGGACGAGCGAAGTGACGCCTACACGTCCCAAGACCGCACACGTCGGCGTTCTTCACACGTTCCTACTACTAAAATGGAACGATCGACTGATACTGAGAAGAAGACAGCGTCCACCGAGGCATCACAACCGGTATGGACCAAGCTCCATCATGCATACTATGCCCTCACAGTGGTATTTGGCATGTCGGCCCCGCCAGATTTCGCTCATGCTGATTTGTCGTCGCAATCGCGGCCAGCGCGACCAGTACGACGTATGGCCATGATGTCGTTATGGGATCAATTGCTTGATGAAGTGCTGACGAACAGCTGCGAAAGCGCCCAGGAAATGAAATGGGAACGTGTGTCCAACTTTATGGCTGTGCCTGTATGGGTCGAAAAACTGATCTGGCTCGGTCAATTCATCTGTCTGAACTCATTTCTACATACCATTACTATCTTGCCGTTACGTTTCCTTGTGGCATGGACGCGGTGGGCCTACAATACCTATGTCTGGCTGGCCGCCGGCAAGAAACGGTACTTGAATGTATCCAACAAATGTGACATTTTAAAGGGCTTGCTTGTAATCCAGACATGCTACCTACTAGCCCATGTGGCAGATGCCAGTAAGATGTACCACAGTGTGCGAGGACAGGATGTGGTCAAACTCTCGGTGATTTTCAGTGTCCTGGAAATCAGCGATCGTTTATGTGCATCGTTCGGTCAAGATGCACTGGATTCCTTGTTCTCTCGTCGCACACTAGCACGACGCAGTGATGGTTCGCAGCGATATTTGCGTATGTTTGGCTACTACTTGCTATGCCTCGCCTACATTGTCTTCCATACATTTGTGCTGCTTTATCAACTTGTCACACTCAATGTGGCCATCAACAGCTATGACAATGCGCTATTGACCCTACTTCTGTCAAACCAGTTTGTCGAGATCAAGACCACGGTATTTAAGCGGTTTGAAAAGGAAAATCTGTTCCAATTGACCTGTGCGGATGTCGTGGAGCGGTTCCAACTGTCCATCATCTTGGCGGCCATTGGCCTACGAAACTTGATCGAAGTCTCTGGTGCCAATGCCATCGGAGGCGCTAGTGCCATGGGACCCTTGCCAACGAGTTTCGACGTATACCCCTATGTGAACGTGTTTTTCCGGACCCTCAATCCTGTCTTTACAGTTCTCATCAGCGAGATGCTCGTGGACTGGCTCAAGCATGCCTTTATCACCAAGTCGAACCACATCCGGCCTGCTATTTATGGGCGATACATGGATGTGTTATGCAGAGATGTTCTGCCGCCCAAAACGTCCGTCGCTATGGATGGATATACCCAGCGCCAAGCTTCATTTGTGGATCAAAGTCCTTTGGCTACGCGCAGATTGGGACTGGCGGTCCTGCCGCTTGTGTGTGTATCCATTCGAATTGCCTTCCAAATTATCGATATGCTCTGGATGACAAAGGAAGATATGGATCTCGACACAGTCGATCGGTGGTGGGACTTTGTCACACTCGGTGTGATGATGGGCCTTGTCATGCTGATTGGCTGGGTCGCTCTTGTGGTCCTGAAGATTTTGCTGGGTGTGCATCTTGTTAATTATGCAACCAAGCGCTATGCTCAGCGGCATGAACGTGAGTTGGAAGACCAGCGAAATGCGAAGGGTCGTCCGCCCATTGGCGAGACACCCGCAGAGACAGCGCAGCAGGCTCAGATGATGGACATGGTCGACAAACGCGACGACAATGCATCGACAGTGGGACTCTATGGACAGCAGTCGTTCCCAGGCCGGCCTGGTAAAAAGGAACTCTCATTACTGGATGTACAGCGGTATTCCCTGGTAGGGTCACGACTATGGTAGCTTCTTCTTAGATCGAGTAGAATTTTTCTTCGTCGGCGTTTGGGTCATTGTAACAGGCTGAATCGCACGCAGCGAGAGATGCCGGTACAGTACAGGCACGGCCAGGAACACAAAGAGCACCGCAGCGCCGACCGCCTTGGTCTCGCGGAGGGAAAGGTATTGCGCGTTCTTTACTTTGTGCACATTCACATGGCTAGGATAGGAGAGCCATTGCGCAAGGACAGGCGCCGCAGGCGGAAGCCACGGGAACCGCGCCTCTATATTTCCACCACGCAGCACAATGTGGACAAATGCCACAGCCACGCCACCCCATAGATCTGGCAGGAACAGCAGCAAGTCAACGCGGCGAAGCCATGCCGGCGTTTGAAGCTGCCAGTGGCCGTGCGGAGAATGAAGTTGGAAGGTGGCAATGAGAAGAGGTAAGCCGCCAGAAATAAGAGCGCCAGCAACAAGCTGTACGAGTAAGGAATGCGCCACTACAGGGTTCGGATGCCGCTGGACTTGCGCTAAGCCGACATTGACCACGCCCTCAGAACGGCATACGGCGTCAATAGCGGCGAGCAGGAGATCCACCGGGAGTGCGAGCGCCGGTGACTTGTGCAGTCGTAACAGTAGATCTCCAAGCCCACTTAGCGTCATGATGACATGCACGGTCGAGTACAAGGCAATGGCATACGGCGCAATCAGGAACGGCACTGGTAGGCCCAGCAGGATGGCTACTCGGTAAGGATCATAAGGACGTACCTAGCAATGTAGAGGACCCAAATAACACGATCATGTTCAGCACCATACTCTGAAATAAGCTCAACTGACCTTGCAGTCCACCGCTAATGGATCGAGTGGCATGGCTTATACGAATAGCATGGACAAGAGATAGGAGGGCCACGGGAATCTGGGTCAGAAGTAATCAACGTACATAGACAGGGTGCACATGCTTGCTCCAAAACAGTTCTTGCCAATCAGCCACCGTGGCTAAGATGTACGAAGAGAAGATGGGGTCGTTTTCTGGATGCATCGTAGCCAGACAAGGAGCCACACGAGCACGGACCGACCTGATCGCCTGCAGGATGCGCGGTCTGACTAAGCACATCACGAAAAAATTTTCCGTGCACAGTGCTTCACGACCTACGCCATGGCATTGTCGCAGGCACGTCGTGGTGAGCGCCAGCCGAAGTCGGCACCGAGCGCTTCAAAGACGGAGAAGAAAGAGAAGGCACCTAAGCCTAAAGCGCCTAAGACCGAAGAAGATATCGATCTTGACGATGATGAAGCATGGCATGAAGGCGAGGACGAAGCTGGCATTTCGCAAAAGGGCCTTGAACGTATGATGCGTGCCCTTGGCAAAGACGGGCTAAGCGAGATGGACCTTGCTATGCTTGAACAGATTCGTGGAGATGAGGAGGAAGAGGACGACGACGACGACGAAGAGGAAGAGGAGGAGGAAGAGGACGACGACGACAACGAAGAGGAAGAGAAGGAGGGAGAGGACGACGACGACGACGAGGAAGAGGAAGAGAAGGAGGGAGAGGACGACGATGACAACGAAGACGACGACGACGACGAAGAGGATAAGTCCATTGATGAGGCTGAGGAAGAAGACGAGGACGAAGACGAAGACGCGTCGATGTCTGCGCCTAAAGATTCACTAGCTGCCAGTATTCTTCGCAGTGGTCTTGTTCCTGAGGAGGACGAAGAGGAAGATGATGATGACGACGAAGAAGACGAAGAAGAAGAAAACAATGACGACGATGAGCTGGTTGAAATGGATAAGCTAGCAGCCGATGCTCCCTTGTCGGAGGAGGCGTTGGCGTCGCGTCACAACCGCATTCGCATCAATCGCACAGACGCGTTGGAACGATTGTACCAGGACTTCCGTTTGGATGGCCCTAGCTCGCGGGGCACGATGCCGTGGATTGAGACTATGGCGCTTACATATGAAAAGACCTTGGCGGAGGAAGTGCCCGATGCGCAGAACGACTTGGATCGCGAGCTGGCCTTTTACCGCCAGTCATTGGATGCGGCCATGCGCGGGCGTGAGCGGGTCTTGGCCGCAAAGGTGCCGTTTACACGCCCCAACGATTACTTTGCTGAGATGCTCAAGACAGATGAGCACATGGAACGTGTTCGTCAGCGCCTGCTGGATGAGTCGGCCAGCATTAAGGCTTCAGAAGATGCCAAGCGCCAGCGTGAGCTCAAGAAATACGGCAAGAAGATCCAGACGGAGAAGCTTATGGAGCGTCAGCGCAACAAGCGGGAGATGGAAGACAAGGTCAACTCGCTGAAGCGCAAGCGGCAAAGTGGCTTGGAGTTGAACGATGACGAGTTTGATGTGCAGCTCGAAGAAGCGCTGGGCGAGCGCAAGGAAACGGCGCGTCGTGCCCGTGGTAAGATGAGCAGACAGAGCCGTGATCAAAAGTACGGCTTTGGCGGCAAGAAACGGCATCAGAAGTCAAATACGGCAGCGAGCACGGACGACTTTGGCGGTGCTGTACGACGCGGCAAGCCTGGCCAGCGCCCGAAGGCGAAAAAGACACAGCGGCCCGGCAAGTCCAAGCGTGCTGCCCGACGTTAAGTAAGGAGAGTATGTAGTGCGTATGTCTTTCATCTACATGGCCATAAGCGAATGCCTAGGACTATTGGTGCTCTTCACGACGCTTGCGCTCATGTTCTTCAATATCGCGATCAGCCCGCTCTACGTCGTCTTCGGATGCATCGGCGGCCTCCTCTTCCATGGCATCGTCGCCCTCTTCGTCTTCGTCGTTCACAATAAACCCATCATCGTCATCGTAGTCGTTCACAGCGCCACCGACATCATCGTCTTCGTCGCCCGACCAATCTGTAACATGATGACGGTTCAGGCGCCGTCGTGTGCCGTGACGGCGCATACCAAGATCGAGGTCGCCATCGTAGTCCGTAGATTCACGCAGCTTCCTCATACGCTCACGATGCTTGCGCTTTTCAGACTCCTTTAGCTGGCGCTCAATACGCTCTTTCTCTTTTTCAGGGTCCAAGGCGCCAAACGTTTCCGAGGTGGCCACCACACGCGCACTACGTTGATGCCGGATGGCACTGGCAATTTTCGCATGCGTCTCCGAATGCAAGCTGGGTTTGAAAGTGAGCGACTTGCGCACAGCACATTCTGCTTCCAAGAGGCCTTCATAGGGGTGCGGCACATACAGATACGTCAACGGTACGCCATGGACATTGGGTTCGGTATGTGGCGTTACATCAAGGAACTCGGTGCCAAGCTGCAGCGATTCCGTGCCATCACTCCACCGAACAATCCGTGCATTGCTCTCAGGTGTTTTGCTAGAGCCAACGGGGCGCCAGCGCCACCGCACAGTGGACATGGTCCGCAGCACGCTCCGTGCATCTTTATCACCAATCTCCTGGTCGTGCCCCAGCTGTGATTCTTCTTCCTGCTCGTTCCATGTCTCAGGGTCGAAAGGCTGGTCGCTGTATCGCACAAAGTTGGGCAGACGCGCTAGCACAGTCTCTTTCGTTCGGCGCACAGGCACTTGGGGAAGGGCCATCCATGCCGTCTGCTCTTGTACCGTAGGCGCCTCTGGCGCCTCGCCATCCTCAAAGTACTCGAGAGCCTCCTTTTCCGCAGCCGCACCGTCATCTATGTCGTCTTCGTGGTCAGGACGACCTCGGCCCTCTTCGTCGTTGTCGTTCGCATCACTATCACTGTCGGCAGCGCGTTGACGACTGCCAAAACGAAGAGGCTGCGATGCCGTATGCACGTCGTTCTCCTCCTCGTCAAATAGGTCATCTGCGCCTTGAGACGCCGGTGAGCGCGCCTCCGTCTCCGACGCAGCGGACATGGTCGAATCCCACGTTCCTACGCGGCGTGCGTGCGAGGTCGACAGGGACAGCGCGCAGCGTGAGTGGTCACGTGATGCGATGCCGCAGAGCGGCGTGGGGCCGGTGCTAGTGTCGTCAACGAAGCTGCATGGGTTCGCTCCTACGTACGTGCCAACAGCAGGATCGCTTACGCCACGTAGATTCCATCATGGACAGCATGAAGGAGAGTGAAAACGGAGCTGGTACTACATCTACGCGTGTTTTTACACGTCATACCCTCTTGCAACTCTCACAGAGTCCTCTCGTCCACGTACCCCCGGGTATGGCGGCGATGGACGAGTGGTACGGGTACGTAGACTCACGATACTGACCGCTTTCAGACCATGGCGCCCATACACGCCTAAACCATTTACAGGTGTGATGAACCAACGCGATGGACGACCCGATCATGGCGATGGCAGCGGTGGTGCATATGGCCGCCGTGAATTTGGACGGTATGTATCAGATACCTTTTGACCTTGAAGATCACGTCGTGGTGGCCTCGATGAAGACACAGGACGCCGTGTGCAGGGCGGTAAAAGCCTAGCTGCGACAGCTGCGCCGGCGATTATGGGCGCCTCGATGCGCCCCCGAGCTCGACAAGATCACAAGACCGAGGCGGAAGAGTCGATGGTATGGCGTCGCTCTGCAGGTGCTGCAGTGGGACGTACAGGAGACGCAGGTCATGTTCCTGCGTGGATGTCGGACGAGCCGACGACGCGGCGTCCTGCGGCGAGTGGCGTGGAGGCCATTGAGGCGTTCAAGGCCCAGATGCGTGAGATGGAGCGACGTAAGCAGGGTGGCAGTCGGGGCCAGGAGCCCGACACGGACCGCCTGAAGCGAGATATGCACCAAGACCTAGCCCAGGATGAGCCAGATACAGAGCGATCTAGCCGCTTTGCGCGTTTCTTCGATGTAAAGGGCGAGTCGAAAACGACCGACTCGGGCACGGCGTCGCCCTCCGTGAGCTCTCTGGACCTCTTTGGCATGCTCCAAAGCGTGCAAAAACGGGACCCCACGGCGGAGAAGGGCCCAGCGCCTCGTGTGGCGGACACTCTCTTGCCCTCTCCCCCTGCAGCCACCCCGCTCGCAGCCAGTGTGTCCGCTGCACCGCCCTCTGCGCCGAGGACCGCGACTCCTACCACCCCGCTGACACCCGCGTCGAGTCGAGCACCGCTGCCGCCAGCGAACACGACGTCTTCCACTTCGACCTTGGCAGGCACAACACCTGCGCCCAGCCAGCCCCCGAGCACGGCCGGTCCTACAGGTTCGTCGGGCATGGCATCTACGCCTGCATCGTCAGGCACGCCTAGCATGAGTATGGGCTCGGCGTCGTCTGGTCATCCTGGCCCTATTGATGGCCTGCCTAAGCCCAGTGCCGCCGATATGGCCTCGATGCAGATGCTCATGGCCAAGCTGATGGGCAGCACACGCTCCCCGGCTACGACACCGTCAGGGACTGTACCTGTTCGCCCGCCCCCGGGCCTCGCGCCGTCCACGTCAAGCCTGCCGGGGACGCCGTCGGCCACCTCGGCGACGTCGCCTCCACCGGGCTTAGCACCCAGTGGTCCCTCCACGCCAGGGGGGTGGGTGCCGCCGCCTCCACCGCCTCCCCAAATGACGTCGCTGGGATTCTTGCAATCGCTCATGGCTTCCTCCGGCGGCACAGGGGGTCGTCCACCCGCCTCGGCGCCGGGCTACAGTGGGGGACCGCCGCCACCACCGCCCGGCATGTTTATGCAGCCGCCGCCTGGTGTCCCCCCGCCGCCTCATGCACACCCCCATCACCCTCCACCCCCGTCGTGGCCAGGTACGTACGCCATCGATCCACGCCATGCATCGCATGCTTTGCCCCCAGGCGTACCTCCCCCGCCCATGCCGCCTGCGGGCGCGGGCGCGGGTGCAGGGACAGGCGCGCGACCGTCCCCGCCTGGTCTGCCGGACATCTCTACCACTTCAGCAGCGCAGAGTCCCGCGGGTCCTTGGCACCCTCCTCCGCCTGCATAGTCGTTGCTTTCTATAGACCTTGGTTACGATATGAATGGCACCTCCTATGTACCATGGATGTAAAGTACATGTCTTCATCAAGGGGCTGGTGGGCCCTCCGCCAACAATCTGGCACAAGGAAAAAGAGGGAATAAAGAAAGAAAAAATGACCACGCATAAAGAGGGTACGTGCTGCATAAGGCGCCATCCCAGCGCATACGCACAGATATATGCACACGAAGGGGGGTGTCCGCATGAGAAAGGCGTCAACCTAGGTAGAGCAAAAGAGAGATACAAGTAGGAAAGAATCGTCGGCTCCTAATCACACCGACGTCTTTTAGGTAGGCCGATCCCGTACGCCATGGGCATCTGCCGTAACAGCATGGCCCAGCGGCGGAAGAACAATGCCATGCGGTGGTGCAGCACCCTCAGACGCATGAAGCGGCGTCATCGACATAACCCTAGACGAGTTGCGTCCCTTGAGCGTAGATAGTGTATCTGATGGCCCCCGCATCGCCGCGGCTGCCGCCGATGTCGAGCCGCCCGATGTAGGTGCAGGCATAGCATGGTGCGGAGGGCTGACGCGCGGTGAGCCTGGCGGCGAGCTGGCAGCACTCGCAGGAGCAGAGCGAGACGACATGACGTACGGCAACGGAGCCCGTGCGAGTGAAGAGTGAATGTCGTAGCGAGAGCGCGACGCGCGATGACTCCATGCGCCATTGTAGCTGCCGGCGGACGGCGACGGAGGGCGTGCATCATGCACAGCCTCGTCCGGCGCCGTACTGCGCTCGCCTGACGTGCTAGTCGGCAATACGGACATATTCAAGGCGGAGTAGTGGTAATGCGGCCGCGTACGACTACTCAGCGCATCACTTACGCCATACGGGTGAGACCGATACCGCACAGCGCCATGGTGGCCGGCGCTTGGCGTATGGCTCGGACCTTCCGTCGGAAGCGTCGAGAGAGATCCATGAGAGGGGATACGCGGTAGTTCCGACGCACGTGCACTAGCATTCGCACTGCGGCCATGCACAGGCGAGCTAGGCCGAGACGATAAGGGGCTGTTGGGTGCGGTGCTGAAAAGAGACATGTTACGCAACGGGCCAAGCACAGGACTGCCTGAAGGCGTCGCATAGTTGCTGCGCACCGGCGGACGCAATGACTGCCCCATCGCCCGGGCATCCTCGTGTGCAGCCCACTCCGCATCGCTATGCGCATTGTGGTCGTCCCACGCATGCGCCGACGAGGGAGGGAGTGTCGACACAGGCACAGCGCCTGGCGAGCCTTCGCGACTGCCAGGGTAGCTTGCGTACCGCTGTGCATATACCGAGGGATAGTAGTACGCTTCGCGCTCGTAACGCATGTCGCGATACCGCGGGTCATCGTACATCGCTGCACTCCCAGGCGGATACGCTGCAGCACCATGTTCATACTGGTACGCAGCCGCAGCATAGCGTTCGTCTGGGTACTCGTACTTCGTTCGATACGCATGCTCACGTGGATTCATCGCATGCGATGGGCCTACAGTAGTTGCAGGCAACATAGACGACGCAGGTTGCCGTGCCTTGTACTCAATTTCCATACGCTGCATCTCATGCAACTCACCGGACGCCAAACTGGCCAGCGCCGACATTTCGCCCTTCCGGGGAAGTACTTGCCGTGGCTGTACCCCCAACACACTCGGCTCTGTGTCCACCGAAGTCGCCTGCCAATGCGGCATATCCGTAGGGTTGGAGTGCGAACGTGGACGGCCAGCCGTTGTTGAGCCGCCACGGCCTCGCGAAGCACCGCCACGCGTACGACGACGGCCAGCCGACTTGCGGGCATCCTCCGGCGGAGTAGCCAAATCGCTAGCACCATTCCGCTTCGCATTGGAATGGATGCGCAGGTGGCGTGTAAGTTCGTCGCTACGGCTGAAACGCTTATCGCACCCAGGGTGCGTACACACATGTGGCTTTTCACCAGTATGGGTGCGGATGTGTCGCGTTTGGTGCTCCAAGCGGTAGAACGCACGGGAGCACAACGGGCATTTGTACGGTCGAGGGATTTGGGATTTGTCCACGGCAAGGTTAGATGATGTGTTGCCTGAGGACGTCGTAGCCGCGGATTCTGCAGGCGGCGTGGCGCTGGCCGCTGGAACTTCAGGCGCGGGTTCTGGTGCGCTTTTTCCCTCCATGGTTAGCGCAAGAAACCTAAAGTAAGATGTTCCGCGATGGTAGAAAGATGCACTCGACACGATTTCGTCGACGGTCACAAAGGAGCGTCGGCGTCGAGGAGTGGCTGTGGAGAAAGAAGGGGGAAGGAAAAATTTGCTCCGCGTTGTGAAGGAACACGCATTTTTCCCGACTGCCCCCGCAAACGTCGGCGCCACTCCCAAACCCAAACTCTTCGCCACGCCCCCCTCACTCCCCCCGTCGAGGCCTGGACCTCCACGATCGAGGGCCCATGAGCAGCACGTGGCTTGTCACGCCATGGACGTCGGCCGACGCGGAGTTAATGTTAAGGAAAGATATCGCCACCCTTGTGCAGATGTCGGCGCCTGATTAGGTCGCTGGCGTGGCCACGCGCGCATGGGCCACAGGAAGTGGGACCCGCCGGCGCTATTAAAAACGACATACGGCAGAGTTGAGCCCCTTGGATTTTCCCTCATCCACTATCACTATGTCTACGAACACTGCAAAGCTAGAGAACGAGACAGCTATCATTGGTACGCAGGAATGGAATAAGCTATACTAACTAGTACAGTGCTTGGCGCTTCGGGCGACCTTGCGCGCAAAAAGGTATGTTGAGCCAAACGTTGCTTTTCTTATCCAAAAGACGTTCCCGGCTTTATTGCGTCTGTATATTCACGGTGACTTGCCCAAGGACACGTTCATTTTGGGATATGCTCGTACGAAAATGTCGCAGGAAGAATTTCACCAACGCATCTCTGAACACTTCAACAATGGCACGGACGAAGAAAAGAAACAGTTCTTGTCCAAATGTCGCTATATCTCAGGACAGTACGATGACGTCGCTTCGTTCGAGAACCTGAACAAGGAGATCACTGAATGGGAAGACGAACGTGGTGGTGAAAACCGCAACCGCATTTTCTACTTTGCCCTCCCACCCAACGTATTTGTGCCTGTATCCAAGCACCTGCGAAAGGTCTGCTACTCAGAGAACGGCGTGAACCGTGTTGTGGTAGAAAAGCCATTTGGTAGGGACCTTGAGTCATGCCAGAAGATGTTGGAAGAGATGAAGAGCATGTGGGCCGAGAAGGAGACCTACCGTATTGATCACTATTTGGGCAAGGAAATGATCAAGAATATCATTCCGCTGCGTTTCGGTAACGCCTTTATCGACCATATGCTCAACTCGTGGATGGTTGACAATGTCCAAATTACATTCAAGGAGCCTTTCGGCACGGATGGCCGTGGTGGCTACTTTGATAAGTTTGGCATTATTCGCGACATTCAACAGAACCATCTGTGCCAGGTTTTCTCGCTGCTCGCTATGGATGAGCCTACAGACTTTTCATCAGAAGCAATCCGTGATGCTAAGGTCAAGCTACTACGTTCTGTTCGCCCCATTTCTCTGGAGGATGTTCTCCTGGGCCAGTATGTCGCGGCCAACGGCAAGCCTGGCTACAAAGACGACGACACAGTGCCGGATGACAGCAACACGCCAACCTTTGCGGCCCTGGTCCTTCATGTAGACAACTACCGATGGCGTGGTGTGCCGTTCATCATGAAAGCCGGTAAGGCCCTGGATGAAGGTAAGGTGGAGATACGAATCCAATTCCGTGACTTGGACCACAAGCTGGACGATAAGTTGGAGCGGAACGAGTTGGTTATGCGCGTTCAACCCGGCGAGGCCTTGTACATTATGATCAATGCTAAGATCCCTGGTAAGGCCAGCGCAACCGTCCCTGTCGAGCTTGATTTGACGTACAAGAATCGATTCCAAGGCTACTATATCCCCGAAGCGTACGAGGCATTGATCTTGGACTGCATCAATGGTGAACACTCGAACTTTGTTCGTGACGACGAATTGGAAGCAAGTTGGAGCATCTTTACGCCTCTTCTGCATGCGATTGACGCAGGCCGTGTGCCGTGCAAGCCGTATGAATATGGCTCGCGCGGCCCTGAGGAACTGAATGACTTTATTGGCAAGTTCGGTTACCGTCGTCCAGAGAACTACAATTGGCCCGAGACCAATGTTCAGGAACTGTGCGCGAATTCTGAGTCCCCCGAGGAATAAGACTTGACGATGTGCTTTGTCTCCACGGTATCTGCGCAGACCCTAGCTAGCTAGCCAGCCCTTATAAAACGTAATTTGTGAAAATACCAATATATGACCGAAAAAAAAGGCTATGGCTCCCTATCTAAGGAGCTACCTATCGTCATAACTGAAATATGTAACTTTCTAAGTCACTGCTTAGAAACATTTACAGCTGAGCCTTCTTCACGCCCTCAGCGTAGCGGCTCTCAGCCTCGTCCCAGTTGACAACGTTCCACCACTGCTTCAGGTAGGTGGCCTTGTCGTTCTTGTACTGGAGGTACCAGGCGTGCTCCCAGCCGTCCCAGCCAATGATCGGGTGGTGCGAAGTGAGCGGGTCCTGGTCCTTGGCAGTCACAATGTCAAGGCGGCCAGCCTTCGAGAGACCGAGCCAGCACCAGCCAGAGCCCTGGATAGCAGCAGCAGTGCCGTTGAAGGCAGTCTTGAACTTCTCAACGTCACCGAACTCCTTCTCGATGGCCTGCTTGAGCTGACCATCCTTGAGCTGACCACCGCCAGCGCTCTGTGGAGCCAGGTTCTTCCAGAACAGAGAGTGGTTGATGTGACCACCACCGTTGAACTTGATGGCGCTCTGGAGCTCAATCTGCTTGCGCACGTCGTTGGCACGCTCGGCCTCGGCATAGGCCTTGGTGGCAGCGTTGAGGTTGTTGACGTAAGTCTGGTGGTGCTTGGTGTGGTGCACCGTCATGATCTCAGCCGAGATGTACGGCTCAAGAGCATCGTAAGCATAAGGCAGAGGAGGAAGAGTGTATTCAGCTACTAGTTAGAATTTGCATACATCCATCACACTTACACATAGTTATAGTTACAAGGGAAGAAGTATAACCGGGTGTGGCCCCTGCGATGTCGGGACGGTTACGTGGAGAATAGCTGACCAACCCAGATCACGTCATCAAGTGGCTCGATCACCGTACCGCTGGCACAGGCACGTGGTATACTTCGAGGCCGCGAAAGACGTCTCGGGTAGCCTAAACGCCGCCATGCATGTGACGCTGATTGATTTGTCCGAGTTTCACGCGTAGCAGAGACGACAGACAGCCTTAATGGTAAAAGTCACTGGACGAGCTGTCTTCCTCGTCAGGATAAACGAAGTGGTCACGCTCCATGCGCGAGAACGGATCATCCACTGAACTCTCACTTAAGTCAGAGTCATACTCCGGCACATTAGATGTACTGAGCTTTTTTAGACGTGCCTCCCGTAGAGCCTCTAAGCGCTCTCGTCGTCTATCAGAGGATGTAGGAGCAGGTGGAGAGGGACTCAACGAAATAGGACTTTTAGAACGTAATCGTTTTGACGGACGCGATGCCGTCTGGGGCGGTGGCGATACGGCCACAATACCAGAGTCAGATGAATCTGGCTCGCTAGCACTATCCTCCTCCTCAATTTCTTCGTCATCATCGACAACAAAATCTTCGAGCGATCCAGCATCTTCATCGTCCTGAGCAGATGCAGCGTCAGAATCAGGATGAATAGCTTCAGAGGGATGCATAGCTAGTTCTTCCTCGGTCAAATTATCATAGATAATTCCACTAGACAAGTATTAGGAGCACATTGGTACATACCATGCAGGATTGGTACATTGACTGTCCATAATTTCACTGGAGCACATGCCACAACGCAACACGCCATCATCTTCGTCACGTATAACATGGTAGAAGGTAGAAGGATCGAATAGGCCATCCCAGAGACTACCACTTAGAGGCGTGGAAGTACTTTCGGTGCCGTTGTACTTGCGCAAGCTTCGAAGAACCTCTTTCAAGGCCCACAATTCCACTGGGGGAGATTGAATTTGGGTTCGACAGGTCGGGCACACCTTTTTTTTACGAACGTGACCATACCGAGACTCTGTATCCTGGTGTGATTGTACTTCAACAGCCACAGAGAACCAAGATACAAGGCAAGATGCACAATATATATGGCCGCAGGGAGACAACCTACGCGTTAATCACATGGCATACGTACACGCATGGCTGGTCATACAGATCCATACAAACACCACACACAAGACCTTGTTCTATTTCCTGCAACACAGCACCTGCGGAGTCCCGGGCATGTTTCGTGGGCCTTGTCGCACTAGACCCTGCATTTTCAGGGGACTCTGATCGCGTGCCCCGCATCTCTTGCGTTCGTGCGAGCATGGCGCGTCGCGTCGCGTCGCCTACTGCTTGTGGTTCGGTCACGTGATTTGCCGCAGCGGTGGGATGCGACGACCGGGCGAGCAATGTTCTTCCCCAGTGCGACTGTCGCAGACGACGGCATTGTATACATTGAACCAAGATGGAGAACGAGGAGTACGTACCGTTAGTGAGAGTGCATCTATGATGCACTGTATCGTGTATAAGATGCTAACCACCAGTCTGATTGATTACGAGGAGGAGGTGTCGGTGCCTACCTCGACGACGGCCAACAAAGAAGCTGACGCTACCAAGACCACGACGGCTGCCAGCACGGAAGAGGGCAGCAAGAAGGGCAGCTATGTCGGTATCCATTCGACTGGTTTCCGCGACTTCTTGCTGAAGCCTGAGCTTCTCCGTGCTATTAGCGATCTGGGCTTTGAACACCCGTCAGAAGTTCAGCAGGAGTGCATTCCGCAGTCGATCCTGGGTATGGACGTAGTGTGCCAGGCCAAGTCTGGTATGGGTAAGACAGCTGTCTTTGTGCTGGCTTCGCTTCAACAGCTCGAACCTGTGGATGGTGAGGTGTCTGTGCTGGTGCTCTGCCACACGCGTGAGTTGGCGTACCAGATTCGCAACGAGTACGCCCGCTTTACGAAGTACATGCCGGAGGTGCGCACGGCGGTTGTCTACGGTGGTACTCCGATCAAGGAGGACCAGGCTATGTTGGCTGACAAGTCCAAGTGCCCCCACATTCTTGTTGGTACGCCAGGCCGTATGAATGCCTTGGTGCGTGACAAGTCTCTGAAGGCGAGTGACGTGAAGCACTTTGTCCTTGATGAGTGTGACAAGATGCTGGACAACTTGGAGATGCGTCGTGATGTGCAGGAGATCTTCCGCGCTACGCCGCACCACAAGCAGGTGATGATGTTCTCTGCGACGCTCTCGAAGGAGATTCGCCCGACGTGCAAGAAGTTCATGCAGAACCCGCTTGAGATTTATGTGGACGATGAGACGAAGTTGACGCTTCACGGTCTGCAACAGTACTATGTCCGCCTGGAGGAGGCTGCGAAGAACCGCAAACTGAACGACCTGCTCGACTCGCTGGAGTTCAACCAGGTCATTATCTTTGTCAAGTCCATTTCGCGTGCGAACCAGCTGGATCAGCTCTTGCGTGAGTGCAACTTCCCTTCGATCTGCATTCACGGTGGTTTGCCTCAGGATGAGCGTATCAAGCGGTACCAGCAGTTCAAGAACTTTGAAAAGCGTATCCTTGTCGCCACTGACATCTTTGGCCGTGGTATCGATGTGGAGCGTGTCAACGTGTCGATCAGCTACGACACGCCGACGGATGCGGACTCGTATCTCCACCGTGTGGGCCGTGCTGGTCGTTTTGGTACGAAGGGTTTGGCTATCACCTTTGTGTCGAGTGACGAAGATGCGGAGGTGCTTAAGCAGATCCAAAGCCGCTTCGAAGTTGCCGTGCCGGAACTCCCTGAGTCGATCGAGGCCAGCACGTACATGAATGCGTAAATAGGGTCTGCTACTGTAGTGTAATACATTGGCTCTGTGCGGAGCCTATTTTGCGAATTGAATGTGGAGAGAAAAAACCCTCAAGTCAGAGCAACACGCGTGCGTGGCTTGCTGAGAGACTTGCAGGGAACGAGTGGGATGTCGTCCACAGAGAATGAGCCGGATGTGCTAGCGCCAAAGAATGCCGACTTCCAGACCAAGGCTTACTGGGACAAGCGCTATGCTATGGAGGCACCGGATGCAGAGTTCGATTGGTTCCGAAAGGTATGTTGTAGGGCAGTGAATTGACAGGCAGTACAGTGACATTCGGTAGGTATCGTTTGGAAAAGAGTCTTACAAGCAGGGATATTATCAATGAACTCGTTCCTGATCGTGCCTCTCGTATTCTCATGCTAGGCTGTGGAAATTCGAGTGCGTACATGAGCCCACTGACAACAGCGCTTAGCAAAGACATGTATGAAGATGGATACCATCACATTGTCAGTACGTACACAGTGCGAGAGGCGAACCGAAGACTTGGATTACAGTGATGTATTGATTGAAAAAATGCGCGAACGTGTACCGGAGCTCGATTGGCGCGTGATGGATATCCGCGAGCTGAAAGAGCATGCGGATGAACTAGGAGGCGCAGGCACTTGGGATGTCATTATCGACAAAGGTATGTCAACAACATAGTAACACAAGCAGGTACGATGGATGCCCTTATGGCCGAAAATGGGTCGGTATGGAACCCCAGCGACCAGGTCCTCGACAACGTGGCGCGTGAAGTGGATGGCGTCTTGCAGTACGTACGCAGATGACTGACCCCAGCCTCTTGAAACCGAAAACAGGCCTTTTCCTCTACTTCACATTCGGCCAGCCTCACTTCCGGCGCCCTCATATGCAACGCGAAACGTGGACGATTGAGACCAGAGAACTGGGTGATATGTTTCATTACTATCTGTACATCGGTAGGAAGCATATACCATAGGCATGATCGAAAGGAATGTGCGCATACTACTTTTTTGATCGCCCATGTGAGTGTCGACGATCATAACCACGATCACGATCGTGTGAGCGAAAGGAAGGGCGATCTCGATCTCTGTCACTGTATCGACTGCGTTCTCTGTCATGGTATCGATCACGATCTCGCGATGATGATGACCGATCTCGGTACTCTCGTCGAGAATCGTGATCACGTTCTGAGTCGCGTGAGGATCGTGAAGAGGGTGTATCGTCTCGACGAAGAACAGGAGTGTATCGTCGATCCGCATCGCGCTTCTGTGAAGGGATAGCCCGCTCCTTAGCACCGAGACCTAGTAAAGCAGCCCTGCGTTGAATAGATGGCGCACTAGTAGGACCATTTCGTTTTCGGCCTACGCCCATGCCGTCTTTCCATCCCATGCCACGAAGCATAGCCGCGCCGAATTCTTGTACAGGCATCGTTGCGTAGTCCGTCAGCGAAGGCTCATCAGGCCGCGTATCCACATCATGACGAAACATATCTTCCTCTGACGGCTGCTGAATAATAAGTCTCGAAAAGGCAGAAGGTTGCGTCGAAGACTTTTCTGAGAGCAACGCACGAAGCGCCTCTTCATCAGTAGGTTCGCCGGTAGGCTCTGACCTAGGTGACGCAGGTGGGGTAACATCATCCGCTTCAATGGACGTTGTAGGAGGTGTACTGGTCCGATCTGGCTCCGCCTCTTTCTCGCGAGTACGAACGATCAGCCCTTGCTTTTGTGCCTCTGTAAATGCTTTCTCTGGTGCTGCATCGGTGGGCGTAGACCCTGCAGTTCCATGGGGCCGCATAGATGCTAGAGAACCCAAAGATGTGGCATGTTTATCAAGAAGACCCAGCCTCCGCTTCCTGTCTTCGCGCCAGTCAGATGTAGGGGTGAGAGGAATCACCTTGGGACCTATGTTCACAGGTGCCTCACGTTTGCGTTTGACACCTAAGGGGATATCACGTGGCTGTGAACCACCATCGTGTGTGTCCTCATCATCGTCAAAAATGGCACGATTCTTTGTACCATGTCTTGGTTGATGGGATCCTTTCAGGGAGAAAGAAATGCCCGAACGCGGCGTGGAGCCGCTCATCGTCTGTCAGAACGCAAGAGTCAATGGATTGTGCGTCTCCCTGCCTCGCTCCCCAGGCTTCCGCTTATGTAAGAAAATTGGTCGCTCATCCCCAGGGCTAACGCCACCAACGCCGCTCAACGGGTTTTTTCTCTTGATACGTGGAACCGTAAAACGAACAGGATCCTTTGTATCATGAAGGCCTTTATTTTTGCGGCCTTTGCCTTGGCTGCTTCAGCGGCCTTTGTTGAGGCTGGTGTGTTCAAAGCCAAATTGTCCAAGTTGCCCCACGCGAAAGAGCGTACGTTAGCCTCAGTGATCTCGCAATCAGAGTTCCTGGGCTACAAGTACGGCGCGATGCGCAAGCAAAGGCCTTTCTCTCTTACTCAAAATGCAGAGGGTGGTATGAGCATCCAGAGCGCGGATGCGGGTTTGAGCTCTGACAAGTGGATGGGTGAGGCGAAGGCCGGACATGATGTGCCTTTAACCGACTTTGTGAACGCACAATACTTTGCGGACATTGAACTTGGCTCGCCGCCTCAAACATTCAAGGTCATCCTTGATACCGGATCAGCAAACTTGTGGGTTCCCTCGCAGTCTTGCACCTCAATTGCTTGTTTCTTGCACAAGAAGTACGACAGCTCTTTGTCAACGACATACAAGGCCAATGGCTCGACTTTTGAGATCCAGTACGGATCGGGCAGTATGGAGGGCTTTGTCTCGCAAGACAACCTGAAGATCGGTGACCTGTCGATCCAGGGCCAAGACTTTGCGGAAGCTACCAGTGAGCCGGGACTGGCTTTTGCTTTCGGCAAGTTTGATGGTATCTTGGGCTTGGCGTACGATACGATCAGTGTGAACAAGATTGTGCCTCCCTTTTACAAGATGGTAGAGCAAGGGCTCCTGGACAAGAACCAGTTTGCTTTCTACCTTGGCTCGGATGACTCCGATGGCGGTGAGGCTACGTTCGGTGGAACGGACAAGAGCCACTATGAAGGCCCGATCGTGTATGCCCCTGTCCGTCGTAAGGGTTACTGGGAGGTGGCGCTGAACAAGATCAGCTTTGGCAAAGAAGAATTGGTGCTCCCTCGTACGGGTGCTGCTATCGATACCGGCACGTCGCTGATCGCTATGCCCTCTGATATCGCCGAGATTCTGAACAAGGAAATCGGCGCTACGCGTAGTTGGACTGGCCAATATAGTGTGGATTGTGCCAAAGTGCCTTCACTCCCGGACCTGACTTTCTACCTGGACAACAAGCCCTACACGCTCAAGGGTAAGGACTACATTTTGGATGTGCAAGGTACTTGTATCTCTTCCTTTATGGGTTTGGACTTGCCTGCGCCTGTGGGTCCGCTCTGGATCATTGGTGATGTGTTCTTGCGTAAGTTCTACACTGTCTATGATCTAGACAAGAATGCAGTGGGCTTTGCCAAGGCGGTCGCCAACTAGAATCGGTACATATTTGTGGTATAAATAACTTGAATTCGTTTGCTAGCTTCGAGACTTGAGACTCATGGCAACGCTCTCGGTGTAAGCGAAGGCGCCGCGAGGCTGTGAAGCTTTGTCAGCACGCCTGGAGAAAGAGGGTCTCCAGTCAGGGCCCCACGCCTATTTTTAAAAAAGTGGAGGCATTGATTGGGTGCTCTGAGCTGCTCGCTCAACTTGTAGAGATTCTAGCAACGTAGAACGTCATTAGACTACGACACTATATAGGCGCTGTGGTGATCTCCTTGTCACACCAACCCTTCCTTTTCTTCGCTCCCGTAACCTACGTTCCTGAAACCCCTGGTGGGTATCTAGTTCTTACTCTTCTTCCTATTTCCCTTTAGTTACTGCCGCTGGATCGGTTCTCTTTTTCTTCCTCTTTCACTTCATTTCATTTTCCACTGCTGGTTCAGTGATACATTTCTCTTTTTGTGGACTGGCTTCACATACAGGTTTCAAGAACACACTTTTTGTACATTTGCATTCCTGATACAATATGATGGTTACTACGAATAACAATCATCGCCGGTCGATGATTCGTTGGAGCTTGTTTGCGCTAGTTCTCGCTGCGATCTTCACGGTCCAGGAAGCTAGTGCTCTCCCCCATCGTGGTATGAGCGTACACAACCATGCCGCTCGCAGTGCTGCGGCACCGACAAGCAGTACCATGAACGTTACTTCGGCCGTGGAAAAGACGGTGTCGAAGGCATTCAAGTCCAAACCCCGCAACGGTGTTCTGCATGAAGGTCATAAGATTGAGATGCGGTCGAACGATACGAAGAAGGAGATTATGGCGCAGCGGCTACAGAAGTCGATCCAGAAGCAGATCGATGAACAAAGCCTGGGTGGCGGTCTGGACATCAACATCCAGGACATTCTGGGTGAAATTGACGGTGATCTCAAGATTCAAGGGAGCTTGAGCGACAAGAAGAATAAGACCACTGTGATTACGTCGCCAAAGTCGGAAAGCAGCCAAGACTCGTCCTCATCCTCGTCCTCGTCTTCAAAGCCATCGTCCTCGTCGACTTCGAGCAAGCATAGCAGCACGTCGTTGTCGAAGCACCACAAGACGTCTTCCAAACACTCAACGCCTTCCTCATCCTCTTCTTCTTCGACGCCCTCGACCACTACTTCGTCGGGTAGATCATCGACCTCGACCTCGACCACGTCAGATGGCGCATCGTCGACGGGTCTTAGCAACGCCCGTCAGGCTTCGACATCATCAGGGTCGGGCTCGAAGAGCTCGCAGCGTGGTGGCTTCTATCGCATTGGTGTTAACCAAGCCGCTTCAACAGCGCAACGCATTGGTGATGAGTCAACCAGTTCCTCTGTGCCGGGCGGCCGTGTGGCTGCCAAGGCCAACGAGCCCAATGGCAACTTGCCGAACCAGAGTGTCATTACGAACAACCCGTCGTATGGCTTTTTGGAGGCACAGGACGACCTGTACACGATTCGTAAGTGGGCTGGTGATTTGGGTGAGTTGGCCTCCAAGAAGAACCGCAACGAAACGATTATGGCTCTGTTCGACGCTGCTTCACGCTACTACCCTGACGTGGACACGAAGACAGTCGTGCGCATTATGCTGGCCGATATCAAGGCGGAGTCGGATTTCAAGTCAGGTAATGTGAGCCCTGGTCGTGTGGACTCCGGTAACAGTGTGGGTCTTTTGCAGGTGAGCCCATATGGATCTGGTGAATTGGATCAGTTCAAGAAAATGGTGCAGAGCGCGCAGAACACCTACTCGTGGGCTGTAGGTACAGCCACCTCGGAGCAGGTGAAGCTGGGTGGCTTCTCTGAACTGGGCCCATTGATGGATTTCAAGAACAATGATAAGATGGATGTCTCGAAGCTGAGCAACTCGGACTTGAGCCGCCCTTGGGTCAACATTCACGTGGCTATGTGGATCCAGGCCAATTTGGCTCGGACGGGTAGCCAGGACCCAAGCGACTGGGGCAAGGTGTCGAAAAGCAGCCAGAATGTACGTCAGGAGTATGCGCCTGCGATTCAAGAGCTGATTTCCTCCAATTCATCTGGCAAATGGAGCCAGAGCCAGTACAGCTCGGCATTGTCGTCGCTGGAGAAAGATTTGAAGGGCAAGTACCACCAGAAGCCTTGCTTTGCTACTGGTCTTGGCTCATGGGTGGCTGGTCCTGCCGCTAGTGACAGCTCGGGTTACACGCGTTCGGGTGATGACATTAGTGCGCAGTACTTTGAGAACATTAGCAAGGGTCTTTCTGTGCTGTACACAGGCAGTGAGAAGAACAGTGACAAGTACGGCAAGTCGTGGCTAGAAAACATTGAGCTTACGGCTGGTCTGGTGGACTACAGCGACTAAGCTGCTTTGTTGATCTGGTTGCCTTGTTGCCATTTTGTTATGAAAAGCTTCTGACATCGTGGACAGGCCTCGCTTTGCTGATATGGATTGTGTATAATGCTCAGTATCAATAGATGCGAATGAGTAAAAGACATTGAGGAGCATATATATAAACAGCATTATGTTGGTGTGTCTCTGTGTGTACATATAGAATTACAGAGCATGCCCTGGATCATGTAGGACAACAAGAATATACTTTTCACCTTCTGTTAGATATGTTGGCAACGTACTAGGCGTAACAAGCAATTCGTACTTTTTGGTACGAAGACGAAGCAGGCTGAGCTCGTCGTCCTTCTCCATAGTGTCGATATGGCGCCAGGACACGCGGAGGGTATCGCGTACAAAGGACACAAGGCGGTCCAGTTGGTCCGACGAAGCAAGAGCTGCTCCCCCACTCCAAATTACCCGCATATCAGACGAAGTCAAGGCGATACAGCCTCGCACATGCTTATGGCGAGCTAACTGCGTAAGAACCCGTACAGCTTCCTCGGGGGCCTCCCCTGATTGAGGCACGCCTGACACCGTAGGAGTGGCTGTATCGCTGTGGAGCATGGACGTGACAAATGGAGGTGGATATCGAATTACGGAGAGGGGCTTGCCTCTATCTAAGTATTACTCCACTTCGTCACCAAAAGATCCGCGAATGGCCTGCGTGGTATTTTCATAGAGCTCCAAATTGAGTGCCGCCAGGAAACATGGCACACTATGCCGGATGCCATCGCTGAGCCAGTAATCACGCAAGTGAGCCACATTGGCCATACCTTCATTGGCTTCCCCTTGCAATTTCATCTCACCCACATTCCCTTCCTCCGACCGGAAGACTAGCGTGGTGACACGGGCGCCACGTGCATAGGCCGATGTCAATTTGACCTTTCCGTTTTCAAGGAATCGCACTTTGTAGCCGAACAAGGACTGGACAGCTTCACGGAACTCGTTGGCCTTGGCAGTGAACACCTGCTTAAGGCGCAGCATACCTTTATCTTTCAGCTGAATGGTCTCTTGCAAATGAGACAATTCCGCTTGTAGGTTCTCAACAGTCTGTAACGGGACAAGCGCATCCGAAGAGCTACTAGCCACAGGTGCCTGACCTGCCTCCGCCAGCTGCTTGTGCAGAGACTCCACCTGCTCCAAGAGACCCTTGTTCTCCTTTTTCAGCGCCTCTAGCATGGAGGACCGAATCGCATAGTCTCTCGACACAGGGTTGTCCGTCAACACCAAGCAGCGCTCCTTCGACTGATCAAACTCACCACGTCCCACACGGAGCCATAAAGACTCGTTCTCGAGCCCCAGCTGGTGAGCCTGTATCTCTAGCTCCTTATACTGCGCTTCGAGATTGGCCAACGCCTGCTTCGATTGTAGAAGAGCATCATGGTCGTGAGAAGGAGGGGTTATGGACGACATCGTAGCGCTCGCGGCTTGTTGCGCTGTATGCAGTTGGTCCTGCAGCGAAGCACATTCACTTTGCAGGCCTGAAACACGTTCTTCCAAACGAGACACTTGCAGCTTGTGAGATTGGTCGTAGGAGGCACCTTGACTCGCCTCTTCCTCGAAGGAAGCAAGAAGATCCTTGCATCGCTGCAATTCATCTGCTTGTATATCGCGTGTTCGCTCAGCACGACGTAACAAATCGGTTCGCTCTGCCAACTGAGAACGCAGCTGCGTCTCCATTTCAGAGCCTTGCACAGCTTGCCGACTGAGCTCCAGGTTGGATGTACGTAGCTGTTCAGACGATTTCCCGATGCCTTCGATACGAGCATGCAGACCCATGATGGTCCCTCGCAATGTTGATATATAGGAAGGCAACATTTCGGGTGTCAAAGAGGCAGGAGCCTCGACAGTGGGGACACTTTCTCCCAAATTTGCCGCCGCCACAAAGGCGGCATGTTCATCACTAGCAATGCCACGCGCTAAAGTCGTATGCCATTGTGCCTTCTCTTCTTCCAAGGCAGAAAGGGTTTGGTCTTTTTCCCGCAACGATTCGTTCAACGTTTCAAGACGCTCAATCTTGGCTTCAAGACTTCGGTTGTTTTCTCGCAATACTTCCATGCGGGCACTGGCCTCCAGTAGCCGGGCATTTTCCGCCTTGAGACGTACGTTGGCTGCCTCTAGACGCTGCACAGAGATAATCTGCTGGCTTAGCTGATCCTTGAGCAATGTGATGTCCTCACTCTCCCCTGACGAGGAGACGGGCTTCGGTAAGGTAGACGCAGACTCGAGCTCACTTACGCGTGTCCGAAGAGAATCATTGGTGTCAGTAAGTCGTTGGACTTGAGACTGTGTAAGAGCCAAATCGGACTGCGTTTGCACGAGTTTGAATTCGAGTTTGGAGGTCGTCGCATGGGCGTCCGACTCAACAGTGCGGCATTTATCTTGCCAATCGTCACTGGATGCACGCAGACGAAGAGTTTCAGCGCGCAGATCGACAATTTGGTTGTCCAACGTGGTCTTTGTACGATCCCACATGTCCTGTTTTTCTTGGAACGATGCACGCTCAGCCTCCCACTCCTGCAAAACTTCAACACGCTGACACTTGAGTGCTTCGAGCTCGCGCGATTGTGAGCGCATCTGTGCTTCCAGCGTACGGTAGGCTTGTTGTTCAGATTGAATACGACGATCAAATTCAGAACGCAGCATATCCAATTCATACGAATCCGTGAGGGGCGAAGCGACCTGGCTCTCTCCGCTCACAGTCCGACTTCGAGATAGAGGGGTATGCAACGGGTCCAGTTCATGCGATATGTTTCGACCCGTCCTTGGTACGAATGCAGAATGAGATCCTGCCAACGGCCGCTTTACTCCCACGCGGGGTGTATGAGTAACAGATGGCGTTCCGCCCGTGGCTTCGCTCAGACCCGTGGAAGAGAAACTGCGTTTCCCAAGCTGCACATCGTCTCGAAGTGGTGTGCTTACAGTGCGTGACAAGGACCGGTACCGGCCCAGTGGTCCTTGTGTGCTAGGTGTACGTCGCGTAGACGATAGATCGGATGGGGTCTGCACTCCCAAAGCACCTGGCCGACGTGCGGAGGGAAGGGGAAGAGATGACCCTAGAGCAGCTACACTACGGCGCTGTAGGTTTGTAGAGTTCTTTGGAGTTAGCAAAGCGTGCTCGGGGTCGACGTCGTCATGCCCCGTCATGCTATGGTCGTGTTGGTCGCAAGAATCGCGCCAGGGCTAGGCGCATCGTTGATGACCTCCACGTGGCGGGCCCAAGAAAGCACTATGGCCCCGCCCTCAATCCTGGGCCTCAACGCCTTTTCCGCACATTTGTCATACAAAGAGGGTCTATGATAGCTACAGATAAATACATAGGTCGTTATACCAATCGATTCGTATCAACAAATGTTGTGGAGGGCGCGTAGAGAGCGTTATACCATGACGGTAGTGCGGTTAGCTCCAGCATTCACGCCGCTCCAGAATAGAGAGGGAGAGCTTGGCCGGGAGGCAGCACTAACATCCTTTCGTGTATTTGGTACTGTGAGTTGAGGGGATCGCGTGTTAGCATCTGAAGCGCCTTGCGACGTGCGCTGCAAAGCAGTGAGGAGCTTTGATACATCAACCGTAGAGGGAGTGCGTGTACGATGCGCACGAAGCTCGTCTTGCAATTGTGAGTTTTCTAGCCGCAGAGAAGACAGTTGGTCCTGCAGGTTTTTGATGAGGGCATCACGCTCGGTGACTTGCTCCTCCAGGAGGTGGATATACTCCTTACGGCGATTGCGGAAATTGCGGGCTGAAATCTTGTTACGCAGCTGGCGCTTTTCCTTGCTAGAGAGTTTGTTGTATTCTTCCAAAGAGGGTCGAAGATCGTCTACATCTTTTTGCGATTCCTTCGAGTAGGTAGAAATGGACAACAATGGCTTGATAGACGAAGAATCGGAGTCGTCTAGACGTTCAGGCGAGAAAGTTGTGAAAGTAGTGTGGGACTCGTTCATTGGCGTGGCTGATTCTTCCTGTGCCACCTCTTCTGCCTTCACAAAGACTTCCTCAGTAATGGCTGGCATGGGTGGCGCAGACAAAACTTGAGGGTTGATTAGCGCTGGAGACACAACAGAATCATGGTGATCCTGGACAAAAGGGGAAGATCCAGTGGCCACTTCTGGCTCATCCACTCGCGAGGGAACCTCCTCAAACGGTGCTGTTAGGAAAAGAGATGTAGATGGCTGAGCATCCACATCTTCAGAAAAGTCGAGATCAAGCAGAGATGTAGGGCATTCCTTAGGCTCTTCAAAACCGCCCCATAGATTTGTCATGGACGGAGATGAAGGTGAAACCGATTCGCTCGACAATTCAGATGAGGGATAAGCCATCATGGACGTTTCATAATTGTCCAGGTTATTTACGGACTGTACAAGGTTAGCTTACGCTCATGGGATGGGATACGTACCATTTTTTCAGACTGTAGCATAGACGAAGAGGAAACAGATTCTGGTGCAATCATGCTAGAACCAAGCATTGTTGTGGTATCAAGCCTTCCCTTGGAATACAGTAAAAGCTAGACCAAAATAGAGGGGTGAAGACAAAGAGTCTTGTTGGTGGCTGAAACCTTTTGGGACGCCACAATGGAGATAGGATCGCGCTGCATATAGCCGCAGCCTCGCATCCGCGGATGTGGAGAACACAAGTGTCAATCTTCCATTTGTTTCTGCGCCGAACACCTGGCCAGTGCCAAAGCCAGCTTGCACGTCATGTGATGCTGTGTGTCCCACCTCCATCGTCCTTAGCGCAATAGGCATTATACAAGATGACCACAGTGGCTAAGATTATGAAACCATACTATGAAGAGCTTGCTTTAATGAAAAAATTGACAGGAATAGTGAAGAGGTAGGCTACCACTCTAAAAAGTGACCCGCTAATACCAGGCTTCACAAAGAACTTGATTCCTATGAAATTGAAACAGAAGAGCAAAAACAGCGCATCCAGCAGTACATTGATGAAGGAAAGGATGAATGGCATGTAAATAAGCAAAAAGAGGTCTATCAAGATACCAAACAGATGATTGATCAAGTGTACAGGCGCCTCAAAGAGGCGGTATCAGACTTGGATGGGTTTGCGGTTCGTACAGGCCACTCCGCTAACCAGGCAGCATAATGTCTCTGAAGATGTTAGGGAAACTGATGAATATAGAGAAATGTGGTACATTCTTGCCGATGGCAGGAACAAAGTGCTCTCCAACGTAGACTTTTTGGTGTAATATGCAAGAAATCCTATCAACCGTGTTTAAGTGGAGGTGTACTCTCACTTGCCACCATGGCGCCTCCCAGTGCATGCGTGAAGTTCTTAGGTACATGCACAACGCCGATTGCGACCCGGAACTATTCCAGGTATGTTGATGTTGTATTTATTCAACAGTCTTTTAGTGAAGCTGGGTTCAGAAACAATCATGGTGTAAGTTTCAAAACTTGGCCTTACCTGCAGCGATTGCGGCGAAGGAACGCAGCGCCAACTATTCACAGCGCATGTACATTCAGAGACCAAGCTATCCCACATTCGAACAATTCTAATCACCCACTTGCATCCAGATCGTACGTACAAGCCTCATCTTACACAGACATTTTGGGTTTGGTGCCAATGATGTTCACTATGATGGGCCTAAGCGCAGAAACGCCGAAGACAGATGGCCCCCGCCTGCAGATTATTGGTCCTCTTGGATTGCGTGCACACCTGAGATCTACACTGTCCATCACGTATGCGACGCTAAACAGTTATTTTGTGGTGCATGAACTGCTGTGGCCGTCACAACCAGCCTACCCTCATGAACCTGATGGTAGAAGCACATTCACATATACAGAACAAGATCTGTCTTTGCCTGAGCATGTGCGTGGTCAGGTCCGCACACTACCAATTATGCCTCCTCACGCTAATGAACTACCAGGCAAAGATATTCGACTCGACGAAGCAACATACACGTGGACTGATATACTTCAAGTCGAGTCGATCACAATCAGCGCAGCACCGATTACGCATCGGTGTCCTACTGTGGGTTATGTGCTTCAGGAGGCTATGAGTGCGTCCAAGGGATTATCGCCTCGTGAATTGGCCATTCTTGACTCGAACACGGAAGCGTTATTCGAGCAGCAAAACATTCGGAATCCACGCATACTACTTAAAAAGCTGCTTCAGGAACGCAAGCCTCTAGAGCTACCTGATGGAAATACCCTCTACCCTCCGGTATTGGATCGGCCAGGAAGAAAGATTTGTATTTTGGGTGATACGTGTGATGCGACAAGTGGGTGGGCATCAAAAGGCATGGTACCCTTGGCTCAGGATGCGGATTTGGTGGTTCATGAGTGCACCTATACGTCTATGAGTGAAGACGATGTGCAAGTGGCGCGTCAAGTGAGTGATGAACATGCGAAGATGCTTTGTCATCTTTTATTGAAAGAGAAGGAAGCCGAAACACGAGCTCTATCCCGAGGACATGCGATCCCCAAGATTGTTGGTGACTTTGCCGGAAAAGTGTGTGCCCATAATGTGGTGGTAAATCACTTTTCTGCGCGACTCCCTGCACCTACCGTTCAAAGCAACGAACCCCTCGTCTCTCTGGAACAGCTGAAAGAGGGGCCTACATACATGGACTCAGAGAAATGGTTCCATGTTATGCGCGAAATTGAGCGTCAAGTGACCAAGTACTGGCATGAGGCTCTGACCCCTGAGGTGCGAGAACGCGTTCAAACGCGCCGCGCGATAGCGGCGTATGATGGCCTAAGCGTCACGATTCCTCCACGCGAAGTTCCATAGATATCACGTGTGTAACAGTGGAGACGTTTCATAACGTGGGCGACGACCATCGTGAGCCTCCATCATGAGCGCCCCACGATCGGCGCAGGGTGCTAAGAGAAAAACGATACTGGAGGATGGGAGAGATGATGTATATGATTATGAAGACTATTTTGAGAGAGAAGAGAAGGAGCAGAAAAGACTGGAAGAGCAAAGAAAACGACGACGAGAAAGGCTGGCGGACCTAGCCAACGAACCACGTCCTGAAAACAGCAACCCAGTCGTAGAACCAGTGCCCAATGCTGAGGTGAAAAAAGAAGCATCTTCACCTACACATGTGACAGAAAATACCCTCCCTAATGTGCATGAACCTGATACCAAACAAAGTGACGAGTACGTGGAAATCGAGGTGGACGACGATGACATCGATGATATGTTTGCTTTAGAGGATACCCCGCAACGGAAAAAGAAAAAGATCCGAGTCCGCAAGGATGAGGTAGATCAGACTGACAAATTATTCGGACAGGCTCGTGTCTCGACAAAGGCTGTCGGCCTGCATGACAATTGGGACGATCCGGAAGGTTATTATCGTGTCATTCTGGGAGAGAAGCTGGATCAAAGCAGGTACCAGGTCTTTTCGAACCTTGGGCGAGGTATATTTGCCTCCGTAGTAAGAGCGAAAGACCTGCAACAGCATGGACGCGAAGTGGCGATAAAGATTGCGCGTCGCCAAGAGACGATGTATAAAGCAGGCATGAAGGAAATGAGCACTCTACGCCTCCTGGTTGATGCTGATCCAGAAGATAAAATGCATATTGTGAGACTTTATTCTAGCTTTGAGCACAGAGGACACTTGTGCATGGTATTCGAGTCATTCGGACTCAATCTGCGCGAAATTGTGAGGCGTTTCGGCAAAGAAGTGGGGTTGAATTTGCAGGCTGTTAAGACGTATGCAAAGCAAATGTTTATGGCATTGATTCTTTTGCGCAAGGAGAATATCATTCATGCAGACATCAAACCGGATAATATCCTCGTGAATGAAGCAAAGACGGTTGCGAAATTGGCCGACTTGGGCTCTGCGTCAAGTACAACAGAAATGGAGATCACTCCATACTTGGTGAGTCGATTTTACCGAGCGCCGGAGATCAGTACGTATACGCACACGCTCACACGACAGTTCTTGGGCAGCCCTATGGATGTGAAATAGATATGTGGTCCATGGGATGCACGATCTATGAGCTGGCGACAGGGAAAATTTTATTCCCCGGTAAAACAAACAACCACATGTTGCTGTTAATGCAACAGCTACGTGGCAAGCCATCTGCCAAACAATTGAAAAAGTGTCAATTTGCAACACAGCATTTTGAGGACAATAACACCTTTTTAAGCATTGAGGTGGATGCAACGACAGGCGAGGTATGTATGAAATGGCTCTTTCTCACCGCAGCAAATTGTCAAACGCGTTAATACTATGCACCCTACGCATGATATGCGCTCGCGACTTCTTCCAGGTAATACAGCGAAGCATATGCGTGCAGATGAGCTCCGTCAGACCCAGCAACTGATCGATCTGCTGAATCGCATGCTGGAGCTCGATCCTATGAAACGGATTACCCCACTCGAGGCGCTGCAGCACCCTTTTGTCCAATAGATCACGTGCATGAAGAAAAAGTGCGTCAGCCATAAAAAATTTTCGCAGCAGCTGCAGATCCTTTGGTAACAAACCACCAAACAGACACAACTCAATCAACAATGTCGTACGGTGGATACAGTGGTGGTGGCTACGGTGGCGGTGGCTACGGTGGCGGTGGCTACGGTGGCGGTGGTCGTAGCGGCGGCTACGGCGGTGGCTACGGCGGTGGCTACGGCGGTGGTTACGGCGGTGGTTACGACGGCGGCGGCTACGGCGGCGGTGGCGGTGGTTACCGTGGAGGAAACGGAGGCAGTGGTGGCGGCCTTGGCCAAAACTTGCACAAGATCGACTGGAATGATGCTGATCTCATTCCCTTCGAGAAGAACTTTTACAAGGAGGACCCGCGTGTGGCTGAGCGTTCCGCGGAAGAGGTGGATGAGTTCCGTCGTGCCAAGGAAGTGACGCTACGTGGCGCCGACATCCCGAAGCCTGTGACGTCGTTCGAGGAAGCTGGCTATCCTGATTATATCTTGCGAGAGATCAACAAGCTTGGTTTCAAGGAGCCTTCGGCCATCCAGTCGCAGGCGTGGCCCATTGCGTTGAGTGGTCGTGACTTGGTGGCCATTGCCGAGACGGGTTCGGGTAAGACCATTGGTTTTGCCCTGCCAGGCTTTGTTCACATCAAGGCGCAACCGCCGCTCAAGTACGGTGATGGACCTGTGGCGCTGATTCTGGCGCCTACGCGTGAGCTGGCTGTGCAGATTCAGACAGAGTGCAACCGCTTTGCGCCTGCTTGCCGTATGCGTACAGCGGCTGTGTATGGTGGTGTGCCGAAGGGTCCGCAAATTCGCGATTTGCAGCGTGGTGCTGAGATTGTGATTGCGACGCCTGGTCGTCTGATCGATATGCTGGAGATTGGCAAGACCAACCTCCGTCGTGTGACCTACTTGGTCATGGACGAGGCTGATCGTATGTTGGATATGGGCTTTGAGCCTCAGATCCGCAAGATTGTGGAGCAAGTGCGACCAGACCGTCAGACGCTCATGTTCTCGGCGACATGGCCCCGTGAAGTGCAGCGTCTAGCGTCGGACTTTTTGAACAATTTTGTGCAGGTGAACATTGGCTCAATGGAGCTGGCTGCCAACCACAACGTGAAACAAGTGGTGGAAGTGTGCACAGATTTTGACAAGCGTGGCCGTCTGATCAAACATTTGGACCAGATCAGTCAAGAAAACGGCAAGGTGATTATCTTTACGGGGACCAAGCGTATTGCGGACGACTTGACCAAGTACTTGCGTCAAGATGGCTGGCCTGCGCTGGCGATTCACGGTGACAAGCAGCAACAAGAACGTGACTGGGTGTTGGCGGAATTCAAGTCGGGTCGCAGCCCGATTATGGTAGCGACGGCCGTGGCCTCGCGTGGTTTGGGTACGTATGAACAAAGACCGTCAGTGGTGGTGGACAGCAGGCCACGTCAGATCAAAAGCACAGGAACCGTGACGAAGGTCAGGAGATCGTCACGATCGCCATGTCAGCGCACGAAGCTCGACTCGGTGGCACCCGCCCCCGTGGAAGGGACTATGTTTAGCAGTGTACGACAAATGTCTATGTCGGCGTTGTCTGGGCCCAGGCTGGGCCACAGGCTGGGCCCGATACGACGCTGCCTCATGTCCCTTAGAGTATGTCGGTCCGAACCAATGAAAAAAGTGTTGGAATTGGATGGTCCTGGCTACGAGTCGTGCACTCGTTGTTGTGTGTGTGTGTGTGTGTGCTTTCGATGCATGGGTGTGCCTCATGTAGGGACGTGGGTGTCTTGTCGTCCTGGCGGTATTCAGCAAGAAAGAAAAAAAGTACTAACACAGAACCAGATGTCAAGGACATTAGCTACGTCATCAACTATGATTTCCCCACCAACACGGAGGACTATATTCACCAAATTGGTCGTACGGGTCGTGCAGGCCGCAAGGGTGTGGCCATCACATTCTTTACCTCGGAGAACTCCAAGTCGGCGCGCGACCTTGTCGGCATTTTGCGTGAGGCCAACCAGGAAATTCCGCAGGAGCTCCAAGATATGGTTCGCCCCATGGGTGGTGGTGGCCGTGGCGGCCGCGGCTATGGTGGCCGCGGTGGCCGTGGTCGTGGCTATGGCCGTGGCCGCTTCGGTGGCGGTCCACGCAGCTCTGGTGCGAACAACATCAACGTGGGCGGCGGCAGCTCGCGTTGGTAAATAGACAGGCATAATTATTGTACGAGGTTGTGGATTATGTGGAGGTAGAAGGACGCGCGTGCGCATCCAGTCGTGTTGGCTGTTGGTTAGAGAAAGTGGTAGGTCCTTCACGCTGTGGAATGCGCCTAGTGTGTTGGAATGTCAATGGCCTTCGCACGTTGAAAGGGTACCAGCCATGGTATCAATTGCCGTCATGGGAAGCTTGTCTAGAGACGTTGGAAGCAGATATTGCGTGCTTCCAGGAAGTGAAAATGACACGCAAGCAACTCACACATGCGATGTGCATTATGGACAAGTACGAGGCCTTCTACGATTTGCATCCAACGAAGGGTTATGCAGGTACCGTGATCTTTGTACGGAAAGACGTGTGTAAGCCATGTGCAGCCCAGTGTGGGATCACAGGCTATGGCCCTGGTGATGTGATTGGTACACCGGCCCAGACACTGCAGGAGACCGTCGACCCGGCCCTATTTCAAGCGCTAGATCAGGAGGGGCGGTGTGTTGTGCTGGACTGCCGCCTGTTTGTGCTGATCAACGTGTATGCGCCCAACGAAACAGGGCCAGAGCGCGTGGCCTACAAGTACGTATCGATACGCTGACCACAGAATGGCCTTCTACCATGCCTTAGAGGAGAGGGTGCGCCATCTGATCGCAGCAGGGCGGGATGTATTGGGTACGTTCGAATGCACCAGCTTACATGCAGTGGTGGGCGATATGAACGTAGTAGCTAGTCCCGTTGACCATTGTGAAGGCGCGTTGATGCCGCCGGTGGACTTTATCGCGCATCCTGCGCGGCAGTGGTTCCGCGCTTTCCTGGCACCGTCAGGGCCGCTAGTGGATGTGACGCGGACGTACCATCCAGACCGTATGAAGATGTATACGTGTTGGAATACACTCATTGACGCCCGCCCGGCGAACTACGGCACTCGCCTAGATTATACGCTAGCGACGCCGTCGTTGCTTGCATGGGTTCGCGACGCAGATATACAGCCGTCCATCCATGGTTCCGACCACTGTCCTGTCTATGTAGACTTCCACGAGTCTATCTCTACGGACCAGGGCCTCGTTCAGCTGCCAGAGCAGCTTGGAGGTACAGATCTGACATACACGATCCCGTCGATGGCAGCATCGCAGCATGGCGCCTTTTCCATCAAGACACAGCCACGCTTAGCTGCTATGTTTGGCGCTATGCAAGAGCGGCAACGCATACGGGTCGGAGAGAATATGGGTACGCAAGCGGAGCCCACAAGCCAGTCCAGCGATACGCAGTCACGTATGGCCGTGCCCATGCCAGAGAAGCGCCGTGCCAAGGGACGGCCGGCCAAGTCCATATCTTCACAAACAACGCTACGAACATTCTTTCAGAAGCGCGCCCCAGAAACAAAGGTGGTCGAAGCGGCGCAGCATGTCGTCAAAACCACACCGATACCCTCGACTAGGTCCTCAGCGCAGCAACGAGCCAAAGCCAAAGAAGCGTGGGGACAGCTGTTCACACCGACACCGCCGCCGCTGTGCCGAGTCCATCAGGAGCCTGCCAAGTCGTTTACCGTTAACAAGCCAGGGATCAATCAAGGCCGAAAGTTTTGGGTGTGTGCCCGCCCTGTGGGGCCTGGGTATGAAGGAAACAAACATGGCTCCGTGGTGGATCCCCAATATCGATGTGATTTTTTTGCGTGGGACTCGGATGTACGACGCCAACGGCGCTAGTTACGATACGGGCCATTTTGCGATGACATGAGGCGATACGTCATGGGTTCGAGTATCCCAGTACAAATGACCTGCCCAGGCAATCATAGCAGCATTGTCGACGCACAGCGACACAGGTGGGAAGTGCAATTGGACATCCGTTCGACCACATGCATCCAGCGCCATGCGTAGTCGTGCACGCAGAAATTGGTTGGAAGCCACACCGCCACTGCACACCACGCTCGTGATGGACGAGGGCGAGAGGACACTGTCGTCGCGCAAGCTCCAGCCTTTTTTGGGCGGACGGAGAGAGAGAGCTCTTGTGATTTTGTCCTCCAACGGGGCAAAGGCAGCGAGTTGGAACTCGTACGCCATCGCTGCCTTGGCCTCAGGGGTCATATTCTCAGGCCCGCCAGCCAAGCCAATGAGTCGTGTGGAGGCAGATCGGAGGCCAGCGCTGGTCGTTAGCCACGGCGTACGTACTAAGAGAAGGTGGACGTCCCCAGCAGAATGCGCGGTAAGGTATATATATGCGTGCTCGAGGGTACATGTTTTGTAGCAAGCTGCTCGACCAGTGCGCCTGACGCGCTCTGCCACCCTAGTTGCAGTTCACGCGCAAACTTATCGAACGAGTTCCTGGGGTAAGTAAGCGGCCCACGTACCCTACTGAGTCGTCCAGGGTCGTAGCGAGGATTTGGAAGTGGTCAAGACTATGCGCTAGCACAAGCTGGGTATGTCCACCCGACACGAGAAGCGTCAGAAAAGGAAACGTAGGCGGCTGCGCTTCAGTCAAAAGTGGGGTGAGCGCGTGCGCTATGCGTCAGCGGTCGCTTGATCCACCTACCTCGCATATGGTGCACATAGATCAGAGGTTTGTGTAGGACAGTCGCCAAGGTCTTGGCTGCTGCCATGCCTACCGACAGGCATCCAGGCATGCCAGGCCCACGCGTCACGGCAATGCCATCAAGCTGCTCCATCGATACCTGAGCCTGCTCTAGGGCTTGGGCAATAGCAAGGGGTATATGCCTATGGTGTCCGCGCGCAGCCTCTAATGGGTGGATGCCCTGCGTATCACCATGATCCTGCTTCATAACCACCGACGAAAGGATCGTTCGATCGGATCTGACGACCGACGCACATGAATCATCGCACGAACTTGGACATAAATGTCGTGTGTTGCGTACCTTTCGATCCCCAGAATGGTCCGTGTTGCATAACAACGCTGCGCCACAGAGAAGCCGCGCACAACGACCCGTCGCCCTACCGTCGCCGCACCAATGCTATGCATGTGGAGGACAAAGACGAAACGCGCACTACAGGGACGGCGACGTGGAAGCGTAGCTTGTCATATATATCATAACGAACTACAACCTAACTATACACTTCAATACATGAATGCGCATGCCCTGGCTCTGGATGGCAGCGCTGCTTGCAATGCGCCACAGGGCATGTAAATACATGAGGATGGCCGGACGCTCGATCACTCAGGTCCGCCACGCAACGCCCATCAATCACATGGCCACAAGGCAAAGCCCAAACACGTTGATCGTCCACACCATGCAGCACAAGCGCACTATGGCACAAGGCGCAGATCGGAGTCGTATTGGGCAGCGGCGAGACAGCCTCATGATCGCCGGCTGAGACGCCTTCCACATCCACGGCCGGCTCTACAATGCTGTGAGAGAAGCCCGTTGGGGGGGCTAATGGGTGTGTCCATGTAGGATCAAACCGTTTTGGGAAGGTAGAGATCCCCGTAGGAAAATGGGTTGTTTGGCCATACGGTCGCAACAATGTTTGTGGCGTAGCGCCATGCGCCGCATGGGTCCGTGCCACGTATCGTGACGCAAGCATTTCAAGACGTTCCATGAGCTCCATACGCTGCACAGCGGATGGTATAGATGTATGCCGGGTATATGGGCCAGGTGGGATCCCTTCATGGATTACTTGGCCAGGTGGCGCCTCGGTGGCCATGCCCCAGTCAACAGAAGACGACACTCTAGGCCGAAGACGACGTCGATGAGCTCGTCGCCCCCGAGGCGAGCCAAACGTGACGCTTACAATGGACACGTCGTCATCTCCATCGTCTGACAATGCAATTTCATCAAGGTGAGTCGGACGGACATGACGGACTTCTTCCCAATCAGAAGAGAAAGGTGATGACCTTGTTCGAGGGGGCTCGGGCTGCGGGCGAAGTGGGGGTGAGTCGCCTGTTAAATCAATCACAGACGAAGAGGCGCTCATAGTGTCGCGGTAGCGCGATCCGCACACCGCCCGAAAAGCAAGCTACTGCTCACAATCGAGGCCCTTGCTATGCAAATACGCACTGGCGCTGCGCGAGGAAGGCACGTTAGCCAGGCGGCCGGCAGGGAGCTCGGCCGAGTGGGAACGGCCAGCAAAACGGCCGCGCTACAAAAAAAAATGGAAGGAAAAGAGATTCTCTGCATCTTACCCGTGATCCACCACTAGACAGCGTTTGCCTACCTGGTAAGTATCTCTCCCCTTTCCCCCTCCCTCCAAAAGATGTATACATATTCCTTTCCCCGGCCTATTCGACTATGCCGAGAATACAAGGAGCCTGTTTGCTACAGGCATTCGTTTCTTGGTGCATGCCAGCACCTTTTTGTCTGATACTCCTCTCTCCCTCTTTTCTTATGACTTTGGTGACAGAAACTGACACATACAGGCATCCTAGTGTAGGTTCGTATTGATCGATTGGTCGACAAGATATCCCCCGACGATGATACTCTTGGTATCCAGCCAAAATTCGCAGTTTCCACTCTAAGGCCCACGCAACCCGCTATGGGTTGGAGCATTTGGCTCTCCTGCCGGAGAGATTCATTGGTACTTATCCATCTCATCGAGAGTCACTAGTACGAACCCTCCTTTATGGAGTTCTAGTGGCAGTGGTAGTACGCGAATCGCTTGGATCCGGTTGGGATTGCAGCCGGCTCTGGTCTAATGAGGGCCCCAGACCTTCCTTGGAAGTCTGAGGGGGATTGTCGCCTTCAACTTGTGTACAGTAAGCTAACTAGACAGTGAATACATATACCTTTTTCTCTACAATATTCAGAAGTACGTTGGAGCCAGTTTCGCCGAACGCTCCTACGTGATGAGCGTGTTTCACATGCAACCATGAGAGCTTAGGAAGAGCCGTCGTCAGTGCACAGGCAATTGTGCGTGCATTCCTGTGGCTGTCTGCTGCATAGTCTTTCTCCGTGGATTCCGCTCTCGGGCGTTGAGTCTGTGGATTGAGAGACACGTTTATGGTCATGAGTCGTCCATGACACACTCTTTGATGCGTGGCGTGATGCTATGCAGTTCCATGGCTACAGTCGAGAGCTGTACATACCCTGTGTCGCAAGGCCGAGACTAGTGGTTCCTGACACTTGTCAGCAAAGGCTGCCGATGTAGACGAGCGTTCGGCGAAACATATGCATTGGACGTTGCTAACACGTTGTGACAGAAATGATGTTGGGATCCTCATCTCGCTTGATCCGTGGGGCGTTGACTCGCTCACTTCGGTCCTACTCTACGGCTTCTTCGTCGCAGGGCCAGGGACCCACCACCCACTATCGCATCACGCTCCGGCGCTCTACGATTGGTCTGCCTGAGCGCACGAGTCGTATTGTTGAAGCATTGGGCCTGCATAAGCGCTTACAAAGCGTGTTTCACCGGCAGACACCCACTACGGCTGGTATGATCTTGGCAGTGAAGGAGCTGGTGCATGTGGAAAATGTCCGTCTTCTTCAGCCTGCAGGGGATGAGTCGGCCTCGCCAATCTGGGTGAATGCCAATGGGGAAGTGGTAGATGCAGGCCGCATCTCTCGCAAGGCACCGCGAGGCTTCAAAATTGTGGGCAACTTGATTGACGAGACGCGTGATCAAGAACTCCGTAAGACCAATGCGTGAGGCGTGGGCTCTGCTTCCATGTTTACTTGCTCTTGGCTTAATATACCCCCTCTTACACTGTATTCATAGCTCGTCATAGTTGGCGATGAAATGACTCACTCCGTCATTTAAGGTAGAGATCTATTGCACTATGATAAATGTCGTCATCTAAGTGCGTACAGGATGATATTTGCGTATGATATTCGTAGATATATCATACAATCAAAGTGTGCATTGATGCAATAGGGGAACTGGCTGGCGGTGTGACATGTGACGCGGTGTCTGGGGTTGGACCCGATTTGATCAGATTTTAGCAATCCTTGCCGATGATTCGCGAAAATTCCCGCCACACCAGTCATAACACGGTGTGCATTGCATTGGTTGTCGCCACACTTCTGTGACGTGTACTAGCCTTGGACAAGCACGTCTTTTAGTGGTACCACTTGGGTGATTGTACACAAACTGTTGTGACTCCCCTCTTACCCCCTTCTGTGCCCCTTACCCGACACCCTTATCCCCCACCATATATACGCACAGATACTCCTGGATAATCCAACACTTTACATATGGCGCTTCTACCCAAAACGTTACAAAGCTCAGTACGAGATGTACTTGCACAGTCCGTGCGCCGTGCACCATCTCAGTCCAACGGCTATAACAGTGACTCATTGCGCCGACTGGTACTTCAGCGTAATGCGCTGATAGCCACAGTGGAGACGCAGGATGCATCGTCGCCGGTATCGCCAAAATCAATTCGACTTTTCTCGACAGATGTCCCCAAGTCTCCGGTAGACGGGTCGAAACTCCGACATTCCCTACCAGGGCCTTCATCGCCTGTACTTCGTAAGACGCGATCGATTCATGATGTTTCGTCTGCTGCGAAGACGGAGGCGGTCTCTAGTCAAGAAGACACCTTAGAGGAACAGTGGTTTGATGCTGTTCTCGAGGATTTGGTATCCGACGATGAAATGATGATGACGAGCCCCCAACCCCACCAACTTTAAAGATATGCCCTCTCAACATTGAGGTGCTGCTGCTTAACCGTGCATCCCGCCCCTAGCAGCTATGGAGACGGTGAAAACTATTCTCTCAACTCCCTGGTTTCTGGTGTCTGTGTGCCTGTTATGACTCTCTCCTTTTGTTCCCTATGTGATGTTGATTACGATGGATCGATTGATTTGTAGCGATGTACATAACCCCTGTATCAAATGAACAACGTGCATGAAGCTCAGTAGCGTACTTGTTAGCCAAGTCTAGTGGAGAACCGGAATGTCCCGCAAATTGGGCAATTTTGGGTGTCTTGGCTTCAATTAGGTCGTAGCCTGTTTACATCAACAGTGCCCGTCACTATGATGCTACGCCGAACCATGCCAAACATACTTGATATGCGGCACCCTCTGCATCACTTTTCACTCCGCCATGCAACCCAAGTGAACATACAGCCAGGGAAATCGCTCGTCACTAGTTCATCCAGCTTTCTGATACGCCAAATGAAGCGCCGGTCTTATTCAACTAACTCCCTTGAAAACAAGGCGTCAAAGCCTGCTAAGCCTCCGTTCAGCTTGCGTCCGTACATGGATCTGATGCGCCTTAGCCGTCCCATCGGGACCTACCTCCTGTTCTGGCCCTGCGGTATGTCTGATAACAGCGGCTAACTTTACCAGCATGGTCTATCACAATGGCGTCGCAATTTACACATGCGCACCCTTCGGTATGGCTTACCAATCTCGCACTGTTTGGAGTAGGATCTCTTATCATGCGTGGTGCTGGATGCACTATCAATGACATGTGGGATGCCAAAATCGATGCCAAGGTGGATAGGACCAAGTCACGTCCAATTGCCTCAGGCCAAGTTTCATACGGTCAGGCCACGGCCTTCCTTGGATTACAGCTTGCTGCTGGCCTCGCTGTACTCGTACAACTCAACACGTACAGTATCATTCTTGGAACTCTAGCTCTTGGACCCGTCTTCGCGTATCCTCTTATGAAGAGGATTACAAACCTTCCTCAAATCGGGATGGGTATCTCGTTTACTTGGGGTTCTATGCTCGGCTGGTCTGCTGTGGCAGGTGCTTGCTACTGGCCTGCTGTACTACCATTGTACGCCAGTACAGTGACATGGGGTGTGGCATATGACACCATTTATGCCCACCAGGATAAAGTTGATGACCGCGCTACAGGCGTCGGATCTGCTGCCCTCTTATTTGGGGACGAAGGAACCAAACCTGCGCTTGTCGCTCTCTCTGCTCTCTGGCTAGCCCTGATCGCATATTCCGTCCAAACACAGTCGCCCATCTTTCCTTCTTTTACTACTGCTGAGGGGCAAACACTTTCGCTACAGGAATGGCTCCAGCTCACGCTTACTGAGGGACACCCGTTTTTTGTTGCTTCTTGGCTTGCTACTGCAGCGCACATTGCATGGCAGATCCGTACTGTCAATCTCAATAGCCGCGCTGACTGCTGGGCCAAATTCTGCAGTAACAGTACCGTTGGCTTGATTATGTTCCTTGGACTTGCAGCCGACTACCTTTATCAATGGTCCAAGCAAAAGTCAGAAACTCAGGAAGTCAGTTACAAGTAAATAATTATATTTGGCATTGGCCAGTCATTAAAATAATTATGGAACTGTAAACTATCCTCGCTTTGCTTGCGAGAAGACAACGTATGGAACGAAGTCGTGCCAAGGTGTTCTATTTGCGTGACGAAGATGATGAAACGATTGGTTTCGTGTGCGTCTACCCTGTTTTGGCATGCACAATATACGCAGGTATTTTTTTTACACTGGGCGAACAGATCCACGCACCAATCAATTTTATTGGGTCAACGTTATTCGCAAAACATCAAAGCTTGGGCCGCTCTGGGAAGGACCGGATGTACTTAAGGGCACACATCCTATGATAAAGTTCCTCATACCTATCCATGTTTTTGTGGTACACTGCTGCTGCAGTTTTCAGCGCTGCACATGTGCTAGCTCGGAATCCGCTGGCCACGAATGACCAAAGGGAGCTTGATTTGCTCTCTATGGCACTGGCCAAGGACTCGTCTTTTGAGCCTCACAAACAAGAAGCCCGCACGCAGTACACAAATGCACTGAAGAAATACGGTATGGTCATGAACAAGGAAATGAATGAACAATTAGACCAAGCCATGGACGAGCTTGTTTTCAGCTCTGTTCAGAAAGCCGTCAATGGCGATCCAACAGACCCGAAGGTTTACTGGACAGACACGGCTGCTCGCCCTCATGACTGGTTTGGTCTTTCCGTACCTGGTGGCCGCTACTCGTACGATAACCCAGACTGCATTTATCGTATCGTGCCTATTGACGGAAAATACAGCTACAAGCTGAAGGGTCGTCGTTTCGGCAATGGCACAGCTGATTCCTCGTTTTCTCTTATTAGTAACCCCAACTCCCAAAACACAGTATCTGCTATCTACGGACGGAATTTAGAGGTGAATGACGATGGCTCGTATGAAATCACGATCAGCAACAAGGACTCAAAGAGTCCAAATCATATTAAAAGTAACTTCATGGCTAAGCAACTATTTATCCGTCACAATATTGGTAACTGGGAAAAGGAAACACCTGATGAGCTCACTGTTGAGGTCGAGGGTAATCCTAAACCTTTCTTCCCCAGAACCAATGCTTCGATTATCTGGGATGCCGGCGAAAACTTGAAAGAGTCTGCATTCTTTTACGGTTATGGTGCACTAGACTTCAAGACACTGAGCCAGCCTCGCAATAACTTGCTGCCCCCTTCTATTTCCACCACTCTCGGGACCCTCACATCACAGGCCTTCTCTTTCACTAGCTTCAAGTTGCAGGATGATGAAGCATTGGTCATTACGCTGACCACCGGCAAGGCTACATACTGGGTACTGCCCATTACCACCGGCGGTCTACTCACTGTTGACCCAGAACACAATATTGTAAGCTTCAACAATTATCAATCTATGCAAAACAACAATGGCTCATACACGTTTGTGATATCGGCTCAAGATCCCAAAATCTATAACTGGCTCAACATCACTGGTGTCCCCCAAGGCACCATCATGGGTCGTTGGCAGGGACTTAAGCCCAAGGATGGCTCTAATAACGACATTAATGTATGGACTAGCCATGTTAAATTTTCTGAGCTGAGCAATATTTTGCCTAAAGAAACACGGTATATCTCTGACGACGAGCGATCCCAGCAACTCGCTGAGCGCCGCCGCGGTTATAAGCGTATCCACTATCAGTAAAAATAGTAAAGCTACGGGATAATAACTATAACATTCTTTTCTTACGGGTAAACTTCCTGTCGGCGTTCTTTTCCACTAAATCTATCTTCTGACCCTGCAGGTTCTTCCTCACCGTACAGGAGTGTTTCAGGTACAGGTTACGACTTTTCTGGGGAAAAAGTCTCTCCAAACCAATAGACCCTTGTGATGTGAGATTTATTATCGATCTGAGAACGATAGGTTACTCTTGTGCATAATTCAGAAATATTTACTCAGCCATGCGGCTTCACCATAGATAGACGGGATAACGTCATATTTATGTACATTCATGCAGGGCATGTTTAAATATGGTTGGCGTTTTCTTTTACCCGCACGTTGTCTGACAACGTGCTCTCTAAATGCACGGCCCAAAATTTTTTGACGCTCTCTATTGCGTATTTCTTCGGGTGAGTCGAAACAAGGCATTTAGAAGCCGCCTGATGAAACAATCAATTACATAGCCTTCGGATCGATTATAATCGGCTGGGAAACAAACGGACACTTGATCCTTTACCGTCAACAATAACCCCGACTCATATTCCCCTGTGTCTGTTATAAACACATCCTTTCTTAGGTTTGTGGTAGACTGTCTATTCTTTCCCGTGGTTCTGGCGTTCAACTAGCCACAGTTTCACTATACGATCTTGCGGGGCGGCGAGTTGTTATGGGTTCTGCTCAACGGCTTCACGCATCTTCAGAGGGGCGTCATTCACGATCGAAGCACCATTCATCCATTACACACCCGCCCTCTTTTCTGGGTGAGAATGAATCGTCTTGGATTGCCGATGACATCTGCACAAAATGTGGTGCTTTGGCGCCTAACGGGAAGCTTTATTGCTCGACTAAGTGTCGCAATGATGATTTGTCCTCAACTATCGAGAAGGGTCGACTACCTTGCGACTCTTCTCCTGTGAATGAAGGATTGAATCAGCTTCGCTACCCTATGACACTGTCACCACATTTAACTGCTGCCTCATCGCCCCATGCTTCACATTCACACAAGTCAGCTACCTTCTCGAGGCCAAATTCCTCACAGGTATCTGCTGGTGATGGTCAGAACGAGAACTCAGGCACCCCACCCTTGCAAGATTCTTCAGATGCTCGGTCCAATGGCTCTTCACTTTCGGATGGCAATGACTCTGACTTGTTTGCTCCTTCTCCTTGGCAAACAGGGCTGGATGAAAGCGGCGATGAAATTTCTGACCTGGAGGATGGTGAGCTTGGACTCCCACCTGCTGTTTCTCGTGCTTCACACATCCTCTCTCGACGGAACTCAAGCCGCAATGGTGACCGTCACAAGGTTGGTTCACTCACTCATACTCGAAACCCGCCTTGGTCTTCACCAGCTCTAATGCCATCATCATTAAACCAAATTAGGACGTATTCTCCCATCCACTTTAACAGGATGCCTGGTGCCACGAATCTACCCTCATCCCTTGGTCCTTATATGTCTTCCTATGTTCCTCCAAAGATTGGGCCGTTTGCTCGTGGCGTACCAGTCCGTGATGAAAATGCTCGCTTGGATCTAAACTTTCAAAACACAATGAAGTCTGCTTATACAACGTCTTCCTCTTCATACAAGCAGTCTAGGCTTTCGCCCAGCTCTGAGGACCCACAATCAAATGAAAATACTGTACTGGCTGAAGGTGTGACGAAAGATCCCGAAGATAAAAACCCACAAAAATCGTCCAGCCATTTTTTTTGATTCTGGCGGTGATGGTGCTGATACCCGGGGCCACTCTCAACGACGCCGTCCCATGAGCTATTCGCGACGTGTCTCGTGTCAGTTAAAGTCTCGCACCACCTTCGGAATGTCTAACAGGCCGAGTCAGTAAAGCTGCTCAGGAACTCGTATTTCCTCTGTGCTCTGTTGATGGCATTACCTCAGCCTTAAAGTAGACAGTTGCCCAGCCAGTCAACCCTTTGTCTATGAATTGGCATCGAAAGAGGGTTCTTACTCTACCACCCCTCACCGATTATTTTTATATCTATCTATCTATATTTATCGTGATATAGGTAGGAGATGACCAGCTATACCCGTAAAATGAAATTTCGAATTTGTAGATCCATTATATATCTATATACTCGCTCTCCACATTTGATTAATGCTTGAGTCAGCTTTTGTAGTCTCCATAGAAGTCAATTCTCCACTACACGTCTAGTCAGGCAACACATATGGATTAGTACGTTTGATTTCCCTACATATAACTTACATCTGGGCAGCGAGCAAGAGCGACTTAAGAATATAGCCGAAAATGAACAACTCCTCAAAGATCTGGGGTTAGCACAAGGGGGCAGCACCATTCTTGGTCATACGCTAGCTAAGCGCAATTTGGCTCAAACAGACAGGCCACGAAAGAGGCCCAACCAAAATACAAAATCAACAGTGCCTGTGCTACCGCAGCGATCTAGTGCCAGGCTAAAAGGCATAAAACTGGACCCAGAGAAGAATGTTGAGAGCGGTAGCATCCCAGACACTACTTCTTTGGTGACATCCAAAGTGGAGCGAAAAGCCAGGCATGAAGAGCTTAATTTACGTGATATGATGGGAGATACCTTTGAAGAGGGAACTATGCAAGATGTCAGAAGTACTCTTTTCACTGGAGATGCTGCTGCTAATTTTTCTGAATGTTCTTCCAAGACTGAATTAGAATTATTATTGCAAAGCATGAAGCTACAACGCTATTCACGCGTATGTCAAAAGCGTATTTATTGTATGCTGTTCCATCCAACACAAGAGAAAGATCTAATTTTCACAGGGGATCAGGAGGGTATGGTTGGTGTATGGGATGCACTTGCATCGTCTTCCAATGAACAAGAAGAACCAACATCTACCTCTTCCGGCACATCGTATTCACTTCAGGTACATGGGCGTTGCCCCATTGCCTGTCTTCGTATGGATCCGGTAAATCAGCAAAAACTTTATTCAGCTTCGTATGATGGTACAGTTCGTGAACTGGATCTAGCCAAGTGTCTAAGCACAGAAGTCTGGGCTAGCCCTACGGATATCTCGTTGGGTGAATTTGATATTCTAACCCCCTTATCATATGCTGCCCAAGCAACAACTATACCTTCACCTCTTCTTTGCGAGACGAACTTGTGGCTATCTGACCACCGCGGTGGTCTAATCCACGTTGATAAACGAAGTAACGTATCCTCTCGATGGCAGGTCAGTGAGGCTAAGATTGGTGGCATGTCAGTAAATCCTGATGCATATTATTGCATTGCAACAGCTTCAAATGACAGGCATATTCGTTTATTTGATACCCGCATGCTGAAGTCGCTTCCTGTTGTGGATCATCCTCCCTCCAAGTTCACGCATGATGAGGTAAACCATCTATCTTCTGTGTATGAGAAAATACAGCTCGACTCTTTCGGACGTAAAATGGCATGCACAGCTGTGGATTTCAGCCCTGATGGACGCTATCTAGCTGGCGTGAGTTATGATGATTCTATATCATTGTGGCATATGGATCTTAGTTTGCAGTCGAAAGTGACAAAAAGCTCTTCTTCTACTGTTCGCAAACGTTCATCAAAGCTGGATAGCTGGCTTAAATTAGCGACCCATACTGGGTTATTATCCAACCCTAATATTCTCCAGCATAATAATCAGACTGGCAGATGGGTCACATTGTTCAGGGCGTGTTGGAATAAGAATGCGATCCTAGAACCTCATTTTTCTATTGGAAACATGTCGCGTGCGGCAGAAATTTATGACTGTAATGGTCGTTGTCTAGTTCAATTATACGATCCTGACTGGATCACTGCTGTTCAGGCTGTAACCGCCATGCATCCCATTACCCCTGCTCGGATGGCTACAGGAAATGGATCCGGGCGATGTGCTTTTTGGGCTCCCACGCATTAGCATTTTTCAGTATGTACAGTATTCTTCTATCTATAAAGAAAATGGAGTATTATAAGCAATTGTTGGGGATAGAAACCTTTGGACCAAAAGAGGTACCGGGAATATATCATCGTAAATAAGGTCGTGGTATGAATATTCAAACAAGTATTCAGCTTGAAACATAAGCCAACGTAGCATCATAAAAGAACACGCCAATAAAATAAATATCGTGTAAAAAACCCGTTTGGCAGACTCCTTGGACAATCGAAACCAGGAATATGTATTCACCACCTTTTTGAATTCTCTTGTATCGTTCTGTTTTTCTTTATAGCTTGAATGTAGAGTGGTAACCAACGACCCGAGGCGATTGCGAATGTGATCGAGGCGTTGTGCATATTCCGCATCATCAAGACTGATCTTTTCAAGCCGCAAGTCCATTGCAAGGGAGTCTGCTGATGTGGTTTCAATCAAAGCATCCATATCAAGCCCATCAGATTTCATTGAGCTTACCATTTGATGCCATGATGCCTTTCCTGCCTGGGTTTTCGCAGGCGGCTCTTTGAGCACTTCCTTCAGAAGCCGCACCATTTTCCAGAGCTCGCCTTCCTGTATTGCATAATCACGACCACTTTGTGGCTCTTGCGTAGCTCTTTGTTCTGTAGCCATAGTGTCATCATTTTTCCAATCAATAGTTAGACCATCTTGTGCAAGAGATTGCGTCTCAGGTTCTACCACTAGTTGCTCCCAATCCGAAATGTTGACTTCCCGTTGTATCTGAGGTCTGGCAGGCGAGAAATTTGGGTATATAGAAGATTCCATTGGGTATGTGTTCGAGCGTTGAATTGACTTGGGAGGAGAATAAGGCGGAGAAGTAGAAATACTAACACTGCTTTCTTTTTGGAATACAGGATCATTGTCCATGTCACTTTCATGCAATGAATCATCAGGAGGTGCTACTTTATCCCCCCTTTGAGTGTTTCTGTCTCTCAAGTTTCTTGTCTTGAACTCAAATAGAATTTGTTGACCATTTGCCCATCGTTTGGCATACAATTCCCGCTCATGCTGCGCTAGTGCTTGTGCTTTGGCTTCATCTTCAGATAACCGATTGTAAACCTCCGCAATACTTGGCCGAGTCTTG